CACCAGTTCCTGATTCCCCCTGATTACAAACACACAGCTGGTAACTCATGACGGACTGATTAGCTGGACTTTATATTCACCCCCCACACACACAGACACACGTTAAGAAGGCTTGTTTTGCCTAGCAAACATTACAAAGCACTTTTTTGGTTTCTCTTGCCTTGTCTGTTTTCTGTTTTCATTCTTTGCCTGGGGTCTGTTCTTTGTACATGGATTACTCAATTAGCTGGATTTGGATATTGACGATTTGAGACTTGTTGTCACAGTAACAGTTCTGGTAGTTAAAATGTGCGTAGAAGCAGGTTCATTTCGTATAGAATTAGATTGGGTCAGTTTGGTGAAAATTTCTTACAGTAGTTATGTACACTTGGAAAAATAGTGTGTGTATATATATATATATATATATATATATATATATATATATATATATATATATATATATATATATATATATATATATATATATTTTACTATATATAATAAAAAAAAAACTAATGCAATCTGCAATCTCCGAAATAAAAGTACAAAGACTGCCACCTGGTGATTCAAAGAAAAATTTATTGATATGAACTTTTTAGACACAAACACGTACATGCACAATATTCCATTTTTTTTAAAAGAAGGATAATAATTTATGCAGTCATGCACAAGTTTTGATCGCTAATATGCCGGTGATTGATTCCTTTACCGATATCAAAATGCTTTTTTGATGCTAAATTAATTTATACAGTTATTCCTTACGCTGATTTAAAAAAAAACTTGAGTAGGCCTAGGCTACTATAATGAAAATCTTTTCTAAATGTAGAACTAAATACATTGATATGCATTGAAATACATGATGAATACTCTTGACCAGGAAAGTGTAAAGCCTGCAGCTCACAACAAATGTGGAAAGTTATTAATAACAATTGCGTGTCATATTTAACAAACCGTTTACTGCTAATTTGATGTGATTTTGCTCACATGTTTAATTGAATATTAATCTTATGATGTCATTACCCTGCTGTGCCATCAGCCAATCATCTCACTGCTGATCATGATTTTGAGGATCGACAGATCTGTCCTTCACAACACATGCAGCGATCTCAGATCAGTTAATCCAGACATATTAATCTGATTCACGAACTTGTTTGAAGAACCAAATTAGCCAGAGATCAGTTATCTAGATAAACAAATCCAGGATCAGCCAATTCATGTTAGATCATTTAAGTGAGGTACGAAGGACAGACCCCTGAACAATTGCCTGTGTTTTGAGCATGTATTTTGGATTTACTTTATGTTACTTTATGCTAAACTGCTTGTGGATCCTCACGTTCATTGTTCAGCATCTTTTGTGACAGAGAGAAAGAAGAAAAGTGATGGAATTTAAGACGTACTGTATGTTAGTTAAGTCAAGTAAAATAGAAGTGAAAGAGGTGAAAACAGATACAGACAACATCAAAAATACTAAAAGACCAGATGAATGTCACAGCAACTGACAATAGACCAAGATACACTGGAATAAAGAGCATATTAAATATGTAAAAATAATATTAATATTAATTTCGATAATAATAATATAAATAATAATAATAATAATAATAATTATTATTATTATTATTATTATTATTATTATTATTATTATTAAAAAAACTATTAAATTAAATAGTCTATTTTTTAGCCAAAGACTCATGCATCCATAAAGCAATAATTAAGAAATATCAGAATTCCACAATGTACCTATTGTGATTGGCTTTTAAGTCTACTTTAGACAGATTGACAAACTTCATATTGGACTGTACACAAAACAGGCACAATAAGGATGAAAAATACACACAAACACAGCCAATCCCTGCTGCTTTAGCAGGCTGTAATGCGATCAAAGAGAAAAACTAAGGGGAAAAAAACAAGCTATGTGATTTCCTGTGATACTCCAGAGAAAAGCTTTGTGGGTAGAGACCACGCTGAACGGGATGGTAAAAAAAGAAAACTAATCAGCAAACTTTTCTAGAAGTCATTTTCCCTCATTCTTTATGTCGTTGTCATCCATTTGTTCTTTCTTGTCACATCAGGATTCATTGACCCATTATCTTTCCTCTGTCTCTGACAGAGCTTCAGCTGATGTCGCAGAACACCTGCTTTCAGCAACTTTCTAGCAACTTCTAGATGAACGCAAGCCTTAATATAAAATCGAAACTGCATTCACAACACATTTTTCCACTACATGTCATTCGAGAAGCAAGTTACAAGAATAAATATATCTGTGATTAATTACTGTAACAGACAATGGGTGTTCCAATTTTCATAATATGAATTATCATTGGAATATATTCCAATAAATATTCCAATTATTTTTTATGTATTATTTTTGTAGTGAGATGCCACATGTGCTGTTAATATCAAAGTCAAACAGCATTAAGCTACTGAGATAACAACAATAAAAAAAATAAATAAAAAAAAATGGCACCTGTGGGCAACATCTTTTCTATTATTACTATTTTATGTCCCAACAAGAGCATGGTCATGTTTCTTTAAACTTTACTTATACTGCAAATCATTCAGCGTTACAATTATTACCATTAAAATGTCCATTAAAATGATACCCTTTCAGACTTAAGACAAATCAATACTATGAGTGCAAAACAAATTCACTGAGAAGCTTCTTCTTTTAATGAGACACCTGAGCTTGTTTTTCTGAAACAAGTTTTGACAGTTCTGGGGGCAAATGCATTTGGTGTTGTATTGATGTGAAGGAGACAGAAGCATGAGAGCAACGATTAAAGAGCGCTGCTGCAGAAATCTACGGCAGACTGCTGTCTTTATATGCACATATATTTGACTGCAAGTGTGATCCAAGCAAATGGCTGAATCCAAATCTAACACATGGTTTCAAATCTTTAAACTCAAGCGAAGCTGACATTTACACAGCTAACAGAAGGTATACTAAAATGTTTACAAATGCTTTAAAAAAGTTAACAAAAGAACAAAGAAGCACAGAACAAAGAAAGAAATGTACATACTGGCCATTCTCAAAACAAAACAAAACAAAACACAAAAAGTAGACAAAACAAACCTGCAAAGCCTTCCTCTTCAAAGAAGAGATTAACAGAACAATGAAGCAAAAACAAATGAAACAAAATTAAATTAACAAACAAAAAACAAAAACAAAACAAAACAAAACAAAACAAAATCCATTTTAGACTGATAGAAAAAACATTCAACATCTATGAGTATGGTATGGGTATGGGTACACCGATATACACAACCAAGAGTTATTCTGAAAATGTAGCCCTATATTCATTTCTGAGAGCAGCAAATATGTCCCAGGAGGTTCGTTTCTTTGCAGTTTTTGTTTTCGCAAATACGCTAGAGGCTGATTCGCACGTAAATCAACTAATGTTAATCAACCAGAGGTCGCTGTCGCCAGACTGACTGACCAACCGACCGATACCCCAACCCACCCTTTCCCTAAACCCAGCCGACAGTGTTTTGAAAAGCAATCCGGAAAAAGAAAAGCCCCCTTATTTTTACCACATTTTCAGATTTTACCACATTCTCAGCCTGTTCTTTACTTGTTTATTTTATTTTTTTACCTTTGCTTTACCCGCTTTCTGGAACCCCTCTTCGTCGGACTCGAACCTCGTCATTGCAGTCAACTTCTCTCTGCATCTCAATGTCTGCTCACATTTACCGCGAGCAACTGGACAAACTGGTAACAGCGGGAAAGCCGTCCATACGGAGATAAGCAGTCGGCTGCTACCACAAAAAGGAATGGTGTCAAACCACAACACAGTGTTCGTTTTAAAGACGAAATGCAGCCATACCTACTTCTGATTGCATAATTTGCCTTCTCCAGAAACGTATATAGGGACACATTTTCAGAATGAGTCTATGTTGCATACACCTCTTAGGTATAATAAAGATATTCAAGAGTTTTAAAAGATTGGATGCAGAAAGGAATTTATAAATTTCTCGTTCTGATAGCATGTTCATTCATTTTCTTTTCGGCTTAGTGCCTTTATTAATCTCAGGGTCACCACAGTGGAATGAACCGCCAACTTATCCAGCATATGTTTTACGCAGCGGATGTCCTTGCGGGTGCAACCCATCACTGGGAAACACCCATACACTCTCATTCACACACATACACTACTTACAATTTTAGCTTACCCAATTCACCTGTGCTGCATGTCTTCGGACTTGTGGGGGAAACCAGAGCACCCGGAGGAAACACACGCAAACGCGGGGAGAACATGCAAACTCCACACAGAAATGACAACTAACCCAGCCGAGGCTCGAATCAGAGACCTTCTTGCTGTTAGGCGACAGCACTACCTACTGTGCCACCATGTCACCCCTAATGGTATATTATATTTTCAAAAACTTTGTTAGGTCCAGAACTGAATCCACCTCTCTTTTTTTATATTTGTGCTTAAGATTGGTCATAAGGGCCTTCAGGGTTCCCTGGGGGGATAGTCCAATCATTGCTTGGCTTGACCTGTCCTCTACTAGTCATTTCTCAGAGGCTACAGTAAAATGCTTAGCTATAAAGCACACTAAGGAAAAAGATTGTCAACAAGAAGAGGGTGTAACGGAAGAGTATAGCAATACATTTACTTGATCTAAAATTCCCAAATGCCATCTCATTCCTTTTAATTTTTGTCACGGAACTTATTGCTTGGACATATGCTGTGGAAATGTGAAAAAATACACATTTTCTGAATGATGTGTACATTATCTTATCTGAAAAGATTGAATAATTTTGTACCAATGAACCCTTTCTTATTATGACTGAGTGATGATGTAAATTAAATGTGGGTGAAACTGGAGCACCCAGTTGAAACCCACAAGAAAATGGGGAGAACATGCAAACTCCACACAGATTGGTCCAACCGGGACTCGAACCAGCAACATTCTTGCTGTGAGGCAACCATGCTTACCACTCAGACATCGACCGAAAAAAAAATATAAAAATAAAATAAATTAAAACAAAAATAAATAAAATGAAACAAACACTATACCTGCACAGGCCATCCTCATTAGTGAGGAGAGGACGCCGTCTGTCCACTCATTGGTGGAAAGGTTGTATTCACCGTACAGCTCTCCCAGACTCACTGCCTTTGGGTTTAAGGGACACTCCTAAAGGGTCAAAAGCAAATGACAAAGGTTAGATTTCTAAAGAGGAGGGAACCAATCATCTGTGGGAGAGGATTCAAGCAGAGTTGAAATACAGCAGTGAGAGACTGATACAGAGGAGGACTCAAGTGTGTACGTGTACGTGTGTGTGTGTGTGTGTGTGTGTGTGTGTATGTGTGTGTGTGTGTGTGTTATATGGAGTGGAGGTAATGAGGAAACAGGGTGAGGTGATGTTTGCATGGAGAGATAGAGATAGGCACCAGAAATAGATATGCAAAGAGGGGGGTGTTGAGTCAGATATGAAAGAGTGAGGAGACAGGCATTGAGAGATGGAGAGACAGAAGGAAGGAGAGAGAGAGAGAGAGAAAGGGAGGATGCAAATAGAAATGGCAGCTTGAGTCACAGAATGAGTGGAGAACAAGATGGACCCCCAAACAGTAAAGTACTACACGCACTAGGCAAAAAGCATCTAGAGATATAAACCAACAGAGATTTAGACTCACACATACATACACACACACACACACACACACACACACACACACACACACACACACACACACACACACACACACACACACACACACACACACACACACACACACACACACACACACACACACACACACACACTCATATGCTAACAACAGGACACCAAACCCACACAGTCACACAATCACCACAGGTGCCCAAACCCACAGAGAATTAGACAGTGACAGGGGCAGGGGCGAAAGCAATGGAAGGAGAGAGCGAGAAATAGGCTATGTTCATAACAGAAAGCTACCTTACTGAATACAGTGCTGTATACGGTGTACTCTGGTGGAATGAAGTTTAAAGTTAATGCTAGTGTGGTTTTACTGCGTACTGCAAAGCACTAAAAAACTACTAAAAACACAACTTTGTGTGGTTGGCATAGTGATGTCCTCATTAATTATTACATAAAGAAGTGCTGTTGGAAAATGAAGACCAAAGTAAAAAACCTGGTCTTTACAAATATGTGATTTCTTGAAAATTGCGTCTTTATAATACCATGTACTCATTCAACTCCCATAGAAAGGCTGATCATCCATGTAATACATTTTTTTTATGCAAGACTTTGACCCCGTAACTCAGAAAACGAGTAAAGCAGTTCCTTTAAACTGAAAAACTAAAATAATGAAATGGCCAGCCAAGAGTCCTGATGTAAACCTTGAAAATCTCTGAAAAATCCTTAGATGGTTATGACTAAAAACACTATACAGTCAGAATAAAATACTTTGTTATAAAGGATTATTATTATTAATCCTTATTATCATTATAATTATTATAATATCGCAATTGCCAATAAAAAACAGCAGTATGCTAAAATTCCCCTGACCTCATGTTTTACAGTGCATCCGGAAAGTATTCATAGTGCTTTTGGATTGAATTGATGTATTTCCACAAAATTCTACACACAATACTCCATAATGACAATGTGAAAAAAGATTTTTTGAAATTGTTGCAAATTTATTAAAAATAAAAAACCCTGAAAAATCATATGTACAAAAGTATTCACAGCCTTTGCTGTGAAGTTCTAATTTCAGCTCAGGTACATACTGTTTCCACTGATCATTCTTGAGATGTTTCAGCAGCTTAATTGGAGTTCACCATTTGAAAAGGCATACACCTGTCTATATAAGGTCCCAGGGTTGACAGTACATGTCAAAGCATAAACCAAGCATGAAGACAAAGGAAATGTCTGTAGACCTCCGAGACAGGATTTTCTCAAGGCACAAGGCTGGGGAGGGTTACAGAAAAGTTTCTACTGCTCTGAAAGTTCCAAAGAGCACAGTGAACTCCATAATCCGTAAGTGGAAGATATTTGGAACCAACAGGACTCTTCCTAGAGCTGGCCGACCATATAAGCTGAGTGATCGGGAGAGAAGGGCCTTAGTCAGGGAGGTGATCAATAACCCGATGGTCTCTCTGTCTGAGCTCCAGTGTTCTTCTGTGGAGAGAGTAGAACCTTACAGAAGGAAAATCATCTCTGCAGCAATCCACCAATCAGGCCTGTATGGTAGAGTGGCCAGACGGAAGCCACTCCTTGCCTGGAATTTGCCAAAAGGCATCTGACGGACTCTCAGACCATAAGAAACTGAATTGTCTGATCTGATGGGACTAAAATTGAACTCTTTGGAGTGAATGCAAGGTGTTGCGTTTGGAGAAAACCAGGCACTGCTCATTACCAGGCCAATACCATCCCTATAGTGAAGCATGGTGGTGGTTATTGCTGCCAAAGGTGCATCAACAAAGTATTGAGCAAAGGCTGTGAATACTTACTGTGTGTACATGTGATTTTTCAGTTTTTTTATTTATTTTTAATACATTTTCAACAATTAAAAAATATTTTTTCACACTGTCATTATGGGATATTGTGTCTAGAATTTTGAGGAAACAAATGAATTTAATCCATTTTGGAATAAGGCAAAAAAAGTGTGAAAAAAAGTGAAGCGCTATGAATATTTTCCGGATGCACTGTACATTTGTTGTTTAGCACATAAATGATTCCTCAATTCTTGTCCCAGTTTAGTTTCAGCTTTAATTAAACCTGTCTGAATAAGCCAATCAAGGTCTTTAGTTTCACTTGAAAATTGTAGCCAGGTTAGCTGGAGCACGACTGGAAACAAATGCAGCAAAAACTATAAGAATAGAATACTATTCCTAACATTACAGAGTGCGATAAAAAGAGGGGTATATTTGGAAGGGATCTAAACAGATAAACAAATGATTTTGACAGCATCAATAAAACAGTCTGTCAGACCTCACCTGCATCTCTCTCTCAAACAAACACACATCATTAAAGAAGGAAGAGCTGAGAAACACATATTCCCCCTCCACAGCCCCACTCTTCTATTTTTACCCACATCAGGATGAGACACGTGAAAATGGTTACAAAGAATGAATGAGAACAGAACCAAAAACAAAAACCTATCAGAACAAACATGAACGCTAAACCTGCAGTTTTAGACAGGAGTACCAACCAACAAAAGACTGCAGTAAATGCACAGCAGCCATCCAACTGTGAACAGAATGAGATCATATAAGCTGGAGCAATTAGCATTAGCTGCTGTTTTGACTACGCCATCATTTTCAAAACACCTACGAGTCAGCTGAGAGTTGGTCAGGGAGGGCTTTTAATGAGTGTCAAGTCCTTGTTGCCACTAAACAGCAAAAACTGTTTAAGGGAAACTTGTATTGGTGGTAAATGTATCAGGTGCTGAATAAGCATAGCCGCTGATGGCGGTTCATTTTCATAGTAATGAGGGATGGAACATTGCTTTAGCCTCTAAGGCGCTAGAACAGATGTGAAGTAGAAATTCACCCTCAAAGGTATGATCTTTGCCCTTAAAGGGTCACAAAACACCAAAATGCATTTTTGAGATGTTGACATGAATATATGAAGTCATATATTGGTCCCACATTGCTAAAAAAACTATTAGGACACATTTATTTCACTTGAAAGTGGAAATTGGTTGTTTTTTGTGTTGTTTAGAGCAAATTCGTTCATCCGGTTTGAAAATAAATTTTAAAGCTGCATCACAGCAATAAGGTTATTGTGTAAATTCCAGCATGGAGACTAGATGTCTGTACTGGACGGTACAAAGTGACATCATTGAGCTTTCAGCGTTAATTCAGGAGAAACACTTACAAACCAATCAGCGCGCTCTATTGTGAACGAAATGCAACTTCATTAATATGCATGACATAGCTTCGAAGACTGTTTTTACCTGCTACAGCGTTCAGAGAGACGTCATGTTGTGTTGCCAACCATTATTCAAACAAGTGGAAGAAGAAGAATTGTTCACAGACATGGGTCGTCAGTGTTGCATTTATAAGTGTGCCGAAAAATAGTTTTGTTTTCTTTTCCCCGAGATGAAAGCACAGCTCGTGTGAGAACCCACATGTGTGGATTACAGTGGTCTGCTAACAGAAAATAAATACCTTTGTAAGAAACATTTGTGTATCCAAGAGCATTTGAATCTGGAAATGGTGAAATTCGGATTTGCCACTCGTCTTCTTTTTAAAAAAGATGCAATTTCAGTTTATGTTGATTCTCTACAGATTTAGTAAGTGTGTTATCAAAGTTCTTTGTTCATGTTTCTCCAGATGGAAAAGTTAGTAAGTATTATCAACAGCACTTTTTAAAGACATACCTTAGTCAAAATGAATTAAGTTACTAAGCTTACAGTAATATAACTACAATATTCAGATGGAGAAGTCAGATTGTATTGTCAACAGTATGTTTTTGGAAAACATTACTTAGTGAAATGACTGAAGTTACTAAGTAGTTTACAGTAATGTTACTACAATATTATGGACTGAAAATCAATTGTCCAGTGTCTTCTAAACAGTTTTACAACATCTGTCCTATGAATCCGAAGTGCGTTGTGAGGTGGGGTACCAGACTGACGTCTTCACAACAGATGCAGCATGCTAAGATTACAACAGTCCACTTTTTCAGTGCAGTGCAGTATTTGTGCCAGGCACAATGGTGTATTTACTAGTTATTTGTTTATTTCATCAAATGCAGTTGTGAGTAATAACTAACATTGCAAGACTTCAATACTCACCTCGTCAGGAGCATCTTCACTTTCTCCTGCATTCACGGGCGTGTTTGTGTTGAAAGGTTTAAAATGATAAGGCAATGGACCTGCATTGTCATCAACTAGATAATGTGACTGAGGATCTGGTGGAGAAAAATCCTCCACTGTTTTTTTACAGCTCTCAGATCCGCTGTAAACGCTGCTTACTAAATCGATGCTTACCAAATTCCTGTCCATCTCTCTTGCATATGTGTTTGGGTTTTGGGTCACGCGTAATTAAACACCCCTTTTAATGCAAACCCTTTGCCTTCTTCGCTGTTGGAAACTCCAACCTAAACAAAGCTGGACTCACCCACTTTTCTTACTTTTTTCAAACTAAAGGTGTGAAAACACCCTGCTAGGATAGGGGGTTTTCATGGCCCTTTAAAACCACTCATGAATGAAGACAACCCATTATGATAAAGCTAACAGGGCCAGTTTGTTATTGAGGAGCCTTGTGTTGACCTGTGGCTCCTTAAAGTCTGAATAAACTGGAAGTTGCTAAAACTTATATTTTAGTATGTTGATGTACTTAAAACTAAAACGGAATATTGAGTAGGGGGCGGGGCTTTCTATTTGCTCTTAAATTGCTCATAGAAAATCAAACTGACGTCAACAGAGAGCGTGGAAGGAAATGGACAGAATTTGACGACCCAAGCTCATTCTGAAAACGCAGCCCCGCGGACGTTTCTGGAGACCGCGATTTACGTGGCCGGAGGTACGTACGGCCGCGTTTAGTTTTTCCGAGCAAATGCTGCGGGGCAGTGTGGCGCCGCTCCGCTCCTCCTCTTCGCGATCGCTGGCCGACGGCTCGCCTCCATGTGGAGGGCTTTCCCGCTGCAACCAGTTCGCCCGCTTAGCTCGCATCATTATGTTGGGGGAGCGGAGGCCCGGAGGAGGAGGAGCCGGCCATGGGGACTACAGGGATTGGGTCCGGGGAAGAGCGGTTCCAGAAATCAGGTAAGATGAAAAACTGAATCCAAAAAAATAAGGGTGAGAACATGGCGGGATCCGATAACGCAGTCATAATCAAAGAAGAGGGCTTTTGCTTTTTTTTTTTCTGGACGGCTTTTGCAAACCGGCGCTTGGGTTTAGGGAAGGAGGAGGAGGAGGAGGAGGAGGAAGAAGAGGTCGATCGTTCGGTCGTTCAGCCAGCCAGTTGGACGGACGGTCGCTCCACAGCGGCCTCCGGCGGCCTCCGGCGGCCTTTCGCGAGAGAACAGCGCGGGCGCGAACGGCGCATGCTCCAGAGAGGCGCTTGAGACGCGAAAAAGCAAAAACAAAAACTGTTCTAATACGTACCTCCCGGGACGTATTCCGCAGTCCGCAGAAACGTCCGTGGGGCTACGTTTTCCACAATGAGCGCGGGTTGGAATTTGATTGAAGATTATTCACCAGAAAAATTGTTTACCTAAAGCAGAGATGCCCAAACCTTCTCTTATAACAGGCCAAAAATTAACCTTTATTGAGGGCTGTGAGCCGAATATATACCATATATATATATATATATCCTTGCTGATATAATATATATTTATTCCAAACCATATTATATTAAATTTACCATGGGTAATTTTCTAATTTGTTTGCTAATATTAACAAAATAATAACTAGAAAATGTAGAAAACTAGAAAACATAAACAATCAATTTATAACACAATGGAATACACTAGTCGAGCCTTTGCTTTGATTTGCCGCCAATGACTTGTGCATTGTCCTCTATCTGTCAAGTGACAGTAGTTCGATTTAATGAAACTTTTTAAATTAGTTGGATTTTTTGTAGCTCAGCAATAGAACAAAGAACCAAAATCTTATGTTAAATTTGAAATCACGATCCCTGTTAAAGGTTATTTTACCCAACAACCTTCCCATCATTCCCCTATCTTTTCAGATGGGATGGTGGGCCAAATCAAAGGTCAACTTTGGCCCAAGGGTCCTACTTTGGGCATCTCTGACATAAAGAAACTAAATAAATATTGAACATTTTGATTTAACATGGCAAAAGGCACAAATGATTGGAATAAAAATGAAATCTCACGCGTATGAGGTTGAATCCTGGTTCTCCATTGCGGTGCAAGGTGCTGAGGGTGTTCTGAAGGGTTCTCCATGTGACCGTTTTGCCGCTGCCCGTCTTTCCTACAATCATTGTAGAGTGCCTGGAGTTTTTGGTCTCGTACAGTTGAATCACCTTGGTCACGGTGAAGGGAATCACCTGTAAGCCGCTCAGTCGAAGTTCTGCCTCTACAGCTTCTTTTAACTAGAGATAAAATGAACGAAAATGCATGTCAAACAAAGTAGCATCTAAGTTAATGTCGAACCAAATATGTGCTAATTGCTTCATAACATCCCATAAACTTTCCAGGATGGAAAAAACATCCCTTCGGTGGAGGTGAATCCCACTGAAGCACTAAAGACAAATGAACTGGCAAGAGGTGGGCGGCCATCTTAATATAAACACCCGCTGATACTGCACCCTCGAGTGAAGTCGCAGCAACCAGAACTGCTCCAGAGGCACTAAAGCAGCCATGCTAAACTCTCAGGTTAATTTAATCTCCCTCTCTAAGTTCTCTCTCGACTCGTTAAACAGATGGAGAGGAGGAATAAAAGAAAGGGCTCTGAGGCGTTTGTGCTAGAGTAAGGTGGAGATGAAGATGCAAAATGGGTAATATAAAACAGCAATAAAACCGGTATGATGTGCATGAGTGGAGGCAGAGAAGGAGAAATACAGTACGCTACTTTCAGTCTCTCTCTCTTTCTCTCTTTCTCTCTCTCTCTCTCTCTCTCTTTCTCTGTATGTGTGTGTGTGTTTGGCACTTCAATTTTGTCCTTCTTGCATTTGATGGTGGAAGAGGCAGGAAGCAGCTGTGCAGAAAGTCTAAGGAATCTGCGTTATATCTCTAAACCTGAGTCGCAAACACTATAAACTCATCGCCTAAAAAAGCGCTTCTCTCCTTCACAGTCTGTATTCAGCTAAACACGTTTAGATATTCAGTAGCCATTTGTCAGTTTTTTTCATGGTTAAATGTGTGTTTGGACAATGTTTTGTATTGTTGTTCAAATAATGAGTACAGTACAGTGAAGTTTGCACTAGAAGATAGATCCCTGAGGCAACTAGAGAAAACACAACTGAATCAGAGGTAAGAGATCAAAAAACAAATCTATACAAGCTGAGTACCCACTTCATCCCTTCAAGATTTAATTCAGACTTTTATCCACATGTAAGCATTGATCCATCAACAATGTTGGCAGCATTTAAATTTGGTCACAGATTGTGAAACATGATTGGTGTGTGAGAACCAAGGTTTTAATAGCTATTAAATTTTTAAACTGTTTTATATATATATATATATATATATATATATATATATATATATATATATATAGCTTTAAATTTCAGTTTTGTAGTATATTGTATAAGTATCTGTAGATTTTATGTTTATAAATTTTGTTTGTTGATGTGTATGTGTACATTGTACATGGGCTATTTCTAAATGTGAACGATCCTACATATATTGTATGCATAATTGACACTAAGTATGCTTTTAAAACTTTATTTGTCTATTTATTTTCTATGTATTTATGTATTTTTTATGTGTAATTGTAATTACATTTTGTTCTTGGGGAAGGGTTTGGAATAATATTTGTTTCTATTTTCCTGTAAAACTATCCAACTATTTTTGTAATTAACTTAGTAATTATCCTGCTATTAAGTTTAATAAACAAATATTTAAAAAAAAAAAAGTTTTGTTTTAGCTCATTTTATTAATGGTTTTTGTTAAGTTTTGTTTTGTTTTTTATTTTGTGAACACATTTGTATTTAGTTTTTTAGATATTTTGTTTTAGTTTTAGTAAATCTAGTTTAGCAGATTTAACAGAAGATGTCAAGTGTCTACAGAAGCACACAAGTTTTGTTTAATTAGATATGTGCTTGCCTGTAAAATCGCCATCAACAGGTGTTTCTCTAAACAGTCACAGGTCAGACTTTCCACTTTAAAATTAGTGCTTTTTAAAGAGCCCCTATTATGGATTTTTGAAAATTACCTTCTATGTAGTGTGCAACACAGCTTTAAGTTAATGAAAACATCCAGTTGATGTTTAAATCTGAAAGTGCACCTAGTTTAAAAATCTGAATTTTTAAATAAAAGATTCAACTCAGGGTCCTTTAAATGATTCGTCATTTGTCAGGATCTTTTGCTTCTTCGTATCAACGTAGACACGAAACAATACCAAATATGAAGTGCTGGACCTGGTAAAATGTAAACGTGCCTTTCCCTTAAAACGCCAGCAGAGTGCAGCTGTGTGAGGGACTGATCATGACTGAAGTTGACTGAACTCTCCAGTGATTAATGCAGTAATCCACCCTGAAACGGGGGATTCATCGGTCATTTGTTAAAGAAGAGATCAGAAAAGACTATAGATGTATGGGACTTTGTCAGAGCTTGACAGGAACTTTATTAGAACTTGGACCAGTTTCTTCCTCCATTTCACAGGTGTAAATAAGTGTAATTAAAATGGTTGCCTTCTTGTTTTCTCTAGCTTGCAAATTATGTGTTTAATTGTGTTTTGTTACTTGTAACCACTCCACGTGGCTTGTACTGTATCTGGCTAACTCTTTATATTCACATATACAGGGCTGATAGTGGAAAAAATTCCTGAGCCTGAACTTTTTTTCCTTGCCCCTGAGGTGAGTAGGGGTGGGGGTACTATGTATGCAACGCACTTTTAACACATAACTTGTGGGCCCCTGGGCCCAAATATATTAACAGCCTATGTTTAACCCTGATCATCATTATTGTCAAGTGGCTCTTTTTAGACACATGCCAGTAATGTCAGTGACACATGCCAGTAATGTCAGTGACACATGCCAGTGTCAGTGATCTTGTGACATGTGCCAGTAGGTGTCAGTATAAGCACGTTATAAGCACATTAATCTTATAAGTCTCTTTGCTTTAATATTTAAAAATCATTAGGCAAATGACACCTGTTATCTTACATGCATATATGTTATGAGTTTTCAACATGCATTTTATTATAACTTTTTAAAGGATATTATTTAAAATACCTTAAAATGAAAATAAGTTAAATAATAAAATAAATGAATTAATTAAAAACATAGAGAAGTCCATACCGAACAAAGGAACTGCCAGGATGCAATAATATACAGTACAACAGATAAGTGTAACCCCTCCCATACATAAGCATGCCACAATAAATTTGACTGACATGTACTGTCAAATGACTATATTACGTACGGAAGTATGACTACGAATACATAAAATAAATGCGTTTAAATTAAAACATCGTGGAGTAGCTCAGCAAATAAACTAACTTGCGACGCGATAAATTAGGTTAAAAGTCGCGTAATGATTAAATATGGTTTTGCTCGTGTTAATTAATGTCATAAGCTTCGCCGGGTGTCGATGTCACTGCAGTGACATGCAGCGCGACACTCTGAGTGACACAGGTCACTACACATGCCACTAGCAAGTGACACATGACAGTGGAAAACCGGACTGTGCCAGTGTCATCTGTACGTCAGATGTCGTGTCACTCCATGTTAAAACTGCTACTGTGAATCCGCGTATAAGCTAAAACTCGCCCCAAGCACCGGCAAAAACAAATAACAATGAATGTGTCGAGGAAAGAGTAAGGACATATCTTAATTATTTATTTATTATTTTATTTTATTATTTTATTATTTATTATTTTAATTTATTATTTACTTATTCTGAGTCAGTGTCGCAAAGATCTTGACTGGCAATCTCCTCTTGGACTCGCATTTAGAAAGAAATTCATCTTTACGGATTACATGAAGGAGTTTTTTTGTTTTCGATTTGTTTTATTTCGTCAAGTAATAATTTAAAGCTTTCTATAAATATATTTATTATGTCTGTGAGGCATATACATTTTGCTTCATTTTGTTAAGCGCTCCTGTTCAAAAACCAGACGACGGAAAGCGCATAATTTTGGTTTTCTTTATTTTATAAAAACGCTGTAACGTTTTTTGATGTATTACTCGTACTTTGTGAGCAAAAATGACGGATAACTTTAAATTGCTCCCACTGAAAAAATGCAAGTGATTGCTCTGGCGCCTCGATGTCCTGCAAGCTTTTTATAAGTAAACTATGCGCCTAATAGCACACATTCTTTAACGTTTAAGCTACCATTGTTTTATACTTGAACTGTTTTATATCTTTTATTTTAGGCAAGTCGTGATGATCTGAGAAGGCAAAAAAAAAAACGTATTTATAACTAATAAAAAATGCTCCAAACGTTTTTCTAAATAAGCTGAATAAAAAAACGAAATTAAATATAAACACTTTGCCATTAGGATACATACAAAACTGAACTATTTCATAGCTGAAACACTAAGTTGTTTAAGGAGAAGGGGGAAATATATTTTTGTCCCGTCTATTGCTTCACCGTAATTTCGAGAATAAACCCAGCGTAAATATGCAGATGTCATTCCCAAAACATATCAGCGTATATGTGCCAAAAACGAAAGTTTCATACAAATTCTGAATGGATTATAGCCTGGAAAGTGCAAAGCACGCTCCTCTTATTATCACTAAAAAGCGTCACTAATCTTAGTTCATAGAGATCTCACAAAGATCCGTTATAATTTATAAAGCTCTCTAAATTACACAATTAATCTTTTATTTACATGGCGTCTACACTCAAAAGATGATTCACGAGCACACAAAATGGCACTTAATTAAAACCAATCCGCCGCTTTCAGCAGTGAGTGAATTCTGTGAATCTAGAGAAATGACAGCTCAATATCCGTGAACCTGATTTTTTTTTTCCCCCGCAGCCACAGTGCGCCGGAAATCCGGCGTGGTGCCGGAACGCTATCACCCCTGCATATAGCGTCTAAAGTCACGTTAAAAACGTGACAGGCTGCTTTTTTAACGAACCTAAATACGTTTGTGGGCTCGCGATCCTCTGCCGTTTGTCGTTGTCATGGCGGTTCCTTCAAACTTACTGTGGTCAAGTTTCAGAATAGTTCAGCTCTTGCCACTGTGTGGATTTATACTGAATGTGTTTTGTTGTTTTTAATTATGGTTAAGAGTAGAGGAATATGCTGGTGTTTAACTGCATTGCTTTAAAGAGCCCATATTATGGGTTTTTGAAAATTCCCCTCCATGTAGTGTGTAACACAGCTCTAAGTGAAGTGAAGTATCCAGCTAAGGCTTAAATCTGTAAGAATACAGTGTTTAAAACGGTTGATTCATCTATAAAAGAGTCGACTCATAGTGCTTCAAACGAGTCGCCTTGATACCGACTCATTAGGTGTTTCGCCATGACGTACGAACGAAACAAAGTTTTTCACGTGCACGCGCAAACCCGGGAGATTTCAAACCTGAGGCCCCGCCCTCTGACGCAGTAACCCAGACACACACACACACACACACACCCACAAACACACGCACACAAACATGCCGGTCGATTGAAGTCACATTGCAGATGGATATATTGAGTCTCTACCCAAAGATGAAACCTCAGCATTATAGCCAAGCAGTTGGAAACTACTGGAAACTTCTGGAAGCTACATGCTACAAAGAATACTTCATCTGCGTTTGTTAAAGGAAGGATCAGTAACTTACTGATGGACATCAGGATGGGTTTCTTCCATTTCTCAAGTGTAAGTACGTGCGGTTAAAGTTGTTGCCTCGTTGACTCTAGCTTGCAAATGTATTTAGTTGTGATTTGTTACTTGTAACCGCGTGTACTGTATCAGGTTAACTGGCTATATTCTCTTATCGCGTGCAAAGTCACGTTAAAAACGCGACGCGTGCTGCTTTGTTTATGGAGCTCCGTGGTAACGTTAGAGGTGTGCATACCCGCGGCTGTCCCCGCGCCAGATTTCTGCGGCGCGGGAATAAATTTCCGAATAAATCGCCGGAGCGGTCGGTAACGGGTTTGATTTGGGACGGGAGCGGGCTGCCTGAGAAAGAGAAAGATGTGTCTGCTTGGTGCTTGTGTGTTAGTGCGCACGCGCGCGTATGAGAGAGAGAGCGAGCGAGCGAGCGAGAGCTTTATGCTTGGTGCTGTGTGTGTGTTTATACAGATTTTCGGTTTTGTTCTCCCCCGCTCTTTAGCGGGATCGGGCGCGGCGGGCAGAATACGGGGCGGGTTCTAAGGCTAAAACCTGGCGGGTGCGGGCGGAAGCGGGAGCGTTCTCGTCCGGAGGTGTGTGTGTGTGTTTGTGTGTGTGTGGCAGCTAAAATCCACGCCTACACTATCTAGCGTGTATGAACTGTGATTACTTTTTAAATTGCTGATTAGCTATTGGCCATTTCACTCTCTGACTGAAGGCAGTCGACCAATCGCGACAGACTGTCATCGGTCCAATCAGCGCAGATTAGCTTCGCGCTAAGGAGGGGTTTGGGAACAAATGAATCACTGAACGATTCATACAGGAGTCGCTGGGATAATTAGGTAAAAATAAATGCAGATTATAAGACCATGAAAGTGTTTTTTGACCTTGCATGCATATTAGACTGTTGTTGGAGACCCTTACAACCAAGATATGACCCTATTTCATGTATAATATGGGCTCTTTAATGAACTCCTGTATTGGGCTCACACATACACTCTGCACTCTGACTACTTCAACAATGTTGATAAGTGGTGGTGGGCAATTCTCTCTTTTAATTCCTAAAGTTGTAGTTCTCATTTATTGCGATTTTTTTCTTTTATTTCAGTTAATAAAAATATTTCTACCTATAGTTTAAGTCTTCGTTTACATTAACTAAAATAGCCTTGACACAGAACCAATGAGCTTAATTTTGAATTGTCATGTGGGTTGATTAAGCTTCCACAATGATGTTTTTTTTTTTATCATACATCAAGCAGGTATGGTTGGGCTTCTTTTACAGTATAGTCATAACAAAAAATAAACTCATATTATATCGTGACCAAATTAAGCAATCATATCGCGTCAGAAGACACAGGCCCTATCATACACATGGCGCAACAGTTGTTTGATAGCAAAAAGATGTTAAATAGCAAATCCATTTGCACCACTTTGTAGACTCATGGGTGTTTCGGTCTAGATTAGAGGTGTGTTAAGGCGCATTGCTTGCACGTTGCTATTTTGAGGAACTAAAATAGACCACACAGTAGACCTGCTGAGAGGAGGTCTAAACTCCAGAGTAGTGTGCTTTAGTTGTGCAACTCCCTTACATGTTGCTTAATACACATGCAGGATGTACAGCAATACAGAAATATCTTTACAAATGAAAAATAACTAAAGGAATAAAATTTTACGAAAATTATTATTTTCTACATAAATATAGAAACCACTGCCTTCATGCCTTCTTCATCTCAGGATTTTTTTTTTTTTTTTGTCAGTTTATTCATGACAATTTGCTTTTGTATAATGTTATTATTAGTAGTGGTAGTATTTATTATATGCATATTCATATTTGTTTTATTAAAAATAAGCTTAGATTTACCTACTTGTCAGGTTTTGGACCATGTGGAGCATAGCATGTGTATTAGGACCTAACTCCTAACTGCATCTCAAGTTTTTTTTTTTACCACACTTCGTTATTAATGTTCATTTATTAGTTTGCTGGAAATTGGAAAATGGATGTTGGAAAATGAATGTCTGTGCCAACAACACGTCTCATTTTCCAAAAAAAGAGAATAAAAGTGAAAATAAAGAATAAGGAGGCTCATTCTCTAATTCTCGCGCTGTAGATGCTCTATTTAACTGGTTTCTCGCTGGTGAAACGCTCGATTTTTGCACTTATAAAGTCCGACATGTAAATAGCAACTGACTTTTAAAGGGAATGGGAGATGAGACTCTGATTGGTTTATTCTCAAAACACACCTAAAACTTATTAAAAGATTAAGCCGTGTTGTAGAGTGGATTTTTCCATCCTTAAAATAGCAAACCTGGATTCAGACACGCCCTTAATGCTTTTGTGCCCTGCGCTTTGTACTTTGCGTCAGATTGTTAAATTAGAGTCCATGGATTAAACCAATCAATTCATATGAATTCTACTCATGTAGTATAGTACTCAATTAGTGAATGTACCTTCAAAAGAGTTGCAGGTATATCTCAGATTTCATTAAAAAATATCTTCATTTGTAGACCGACATACAGTAAATCAAGGATGAGAGAATTCTCATTTTAAAGTGAACTAACCAACTAAATGTAGATCTATTTACATGTTTTAAAACACTAAAAGTAAAGATGCCTATTAAATTGACATTAAAATATTGGCATACACATATCCAGATATTGTATAAAACCAAACACAACCTAGTATGGGAGACCAGCCAAAAAAAAAAAATAAAATCAGGAGGGAAGGGCAGTGAAAACTACAAGTAAGCCTTTCCCTGAGAGCGTCCCAAGTTTTTGGTGCAGGATTTATAGACTGCACTTTAAGGGCACCAAGTTAAATGGGGAAATCTGTAACTCTCCAGCTTGCCGATCAGACAGTCTTGGCTTAAAAAACAACAACCTTTCGGGTGCTTGTCAGGGTATCTATCAGCTAAGCTCCCACTAACACCTTTGCACTGGCCTCCATCTGTATTAAAGGGAGTAGACTGTGCATATTGTGTACAGACAGGGCAGGGAAACATCCACAGGCTTTAATGGATCTTTTGAAAGGTGTTTCAGCAAAAGAGAGAAAGCCTATGTGAGTTCTGTTCTCTGAAAAATAGGATGGGCGTAATCAGAAGCATACAAAAAAATATGCTTTTAAGAGCTGTGAGTCAGAGCACACATTCATACACAAATGCACACACTTTCAATTGCTTTATGAGTCCATTATGAGGCCAGATGCACACCGGGACAGGCTACCTTTCCATAGTCGATAGTGGGTGTCTCCACGGCAGGGAAGAGATCCTGGATGATCCCATTAAACAGTGGCAGATCGATGGAGCTTAGTTTAGCGATGTTCATGTCCTTCATAGACATCAGCAGGATCTGAGGTCAAAGGGCAAGAGGAAAAAAAAACGTTATGTTAAATTAGCTGAGCTCAGGAGTACATGTTCAAAGCTAAGGCAGGCCAGCTTCACTCGACCAAATGTCAACCTTAATTTATGAGCCGGAAACCTCATAACCGCTCTCGGATACATCTGAAAACGGCCCTCTTGCTCTCCGGTTATCAAAAGCTAGTTGCCTTAGCACTTCCGAATGACATTTATTTTAACAAGCGTACCTTACTCACATGTGAACCTTTAAATAAACATGGGCCACCTTTAGCATGGGTGATGATATTCAAGTAAAAAGAGAGAAAGAGACAGGTGAGCGGTGAGATAAGCACTCATGTGGGGGTTTACGAGTCCCTTTCAGTTTCTCTTTTAAGGTTTTGTCCCCTTTGATAAATTTTTTATCACAGCCAGAGAAGAGCACGTTTTAGTGGCATGTCAGAATGGATTCATTTTTTCTCACACAGATAATTCAGCGCACATACTGTGCACACACAGTCTGTCTGTTTCACTGAGCACACATTGGTTGGTGTTCAGGTGAAGCAGGCCTCTTAGAGAAGCGTTCGTGGATTTATTAGACGCTGAAGGTATGTGTGGCGTCTCACCTCTTCATCGACAATGTCAGGCCGAGCTCTGCGCTTCTTTCCAGCATAGCGAAGCAGAGAAGTGAGAGCTCGCAGGCCAAAGTCATAGTGGTCCTGTTTAGACAACTGCTGCACTGCCAGAGAATACAGTGTGAAGACCTTCTTAGCCAATACCTGAGAGAAACAGAGATGGAGATTAAAACAGTAACTCTCTTTGATTTGATTTGATTTATTTTGAACAGAAAAAATCATACAGAAAACAATTCTTTAAACAAAATACATTTTAACATGGTCGAAATGGAGCAGGATAAAGCACTATCTTTGGATAAAAAACAATGAAAATGAAAACACTAGGCAAATGGGGAAAACACTTTGTCTATTGGGAATTGGTCAGAGTGTGTACAGCTCACTGATAAAAGTTCTATAATAAGACTAGAAAAATGTGGTATAATAGTTTCTAAAGGGTTTTCAGATCCAGCTGACATTAACCTTATAGAAATCTCTTGTAGGAATAAGAAAATGCATCATGTGACCTTGAGCTCCCACAGCTAATACTGTAGAAACCATGAGAGGAGATCTAGTAATATCTTTGACAGGGATACAGTAATATGTCAGGTGGACGGGTGAAGAAAGAGCATGAGAGGGAGTGAGAACAAACGAACAAATTCAATAACCTTTATTGCATCATTTTTTTCATCTGTGAAAGAAACAGAAGTCAAGAAATAAAAAATAGAACATCAGAAAGAAAAACAACCCCAAAGAAAATTACAATCAGTGTTTTTTTTCTTCTTCTTTTTTTGCCTTTGCGTGTGTTTGGGTTTATGAAAAACATACTTACTTGCAGGGCCGTTTATTTTGAAGTTGATATTTAGCCGCACCATGTTGGTGTTTTGTAACATCTCATTTTTAAAACCCAGGCTTATTTAGATTACGTACACCTATATACATTTCTAGAGAGAGCATAATACGTCCCAGGAGCTACGTTTTTTACAGTTTTTGTTTTCGCGAATCCGCCAGAGGCTGCCGTGTATGCTTTTTCAGATCTTAAATTTCTCTTGTGAGTGGAATTCGCGCCTGCTATTCTCACATAAATCCACTGATTGAACAATTGACTGATCCCCTCATCCTCTCTTTCCTTAAACCCAGTTTTGGTTGAGCGCAAAGATAAGTTAATAATTAATGGAACCATGTACATTCTTCTGTATATTGACTGATTGCTTGCCTTTATTTCCTATGAACTTATTGTACGTTATAGTGTTATAATGGCCATTATTGATTATTAAAACTGATATTCAGCAAAAGAGAGGGTATGTTTTGTATTTTTCACTGAAAGTGAAGAGGCAGTAATGTTATAGGCTCCGTTTTGTTATGAATATGCATGCATTGAAGATGACGCTCATATATGCTGCACAACACCTCAACATTTCTGCTGTCTATTAAGTTGTTAATATCAAAATGAAAATAGCAGTTCCTTATATCATGTTTTAATTTTATTATTAAGATATAGTGAAACAACGTAGCCAGGATGAAGTGAATGAGGTTATAAAGTACACTGTTCCCTTTGAAGATTTACCTGACATGTTCTCGTTTTTCATATCAAACTTGTGAAGTCTGAACTTATAAGGAGAGGATCCAGGACTGAACTGTGTGTAGAGGCTACTTAATATTGAGGAATGCCCCAATCAGAGAGGCGAATGTCGGCAGCCCCGCTTCCATTTTCAGATGTCTCTGTTTTCCCCTATCCACACTTAAAAGGAGCAGCAGCATTTTAGAATGAAACGTTTCAAAAACGCTTCGTTTTCGGCGCTTGAAAACTCCAGCGTAGTGTGGACAGATGGCGTAAACGTGGCAAAACTTTTTTTAAACTAAAACGCATTAGTGTAAACGGGGTCTTAGTTCCAACCCCAATCAGACACACCTGGGCTAGCTAATCAAGCTCTTAAGCTGCGGTCACACTGGGCTTTTCCTCCTATAGACTTCCATTCATATGCACGCGAATGCGTCAAATTTCGCAGGTTTCGCAAATTTCGCAAGTCAAGTGATGCGAAATTGCATCACTTGACTGCGTGAGACCAATCGAGGATCAAAACATGGCATCTCTGGACAGGAATTTAAAAGATGGAGCAATCGCTTAATTTTTTAAATGTCTAACAAGCTTGTTTAATCCCGCCCATTTTTGCAGTGCTGTACGACAAAATTTTACACACACAAACTCTAGTGTGACCGCAGCTTTACTAGCCTTTCTAGAAACACCCTTGCAGGTGTGTTAAGGCAAGTTGGATCTAAAATCTGCAGGACACCAATCCTCCAGGACCAAGTTTGGACATCCCTGCCTAAACCCAACCAATAGTATTTTGAAAAGCACTGATTAGCCGCCCACCCCTTTCCCTAAACCAAACCGATGTGTTTTAAAAAGCAATCCACAAAAAAAAATAAATAAATAAATAAATCCCCCGATTTCTACCACGTTTTCAGATTTTACCCCATTCTCACCCTGTTATTTACTTGTTCATTTTATTTTTTTGCTTCTGTTTTTGTCTTACCCATTTTCTGTAACCGTTCTTCACAAGACTCAAACCCTGTTGTCACGATCAACACCGCTCTGCATCTCAAGTCCGCAGATGTACGTGTTGGGCAAGGGGACAAACTGGTAACAGTAGGAAAGCCGTCTACATGCAGATGCAGGTAAGCGGTCAGCTGGTAAGCAAGAAATGAAACAACGTCATAACACCCAGTAGTGTTCGTTTGAAAGACGAAGCTTTGGCTACATTTGTCTATGTTTTCAGAATGAGCCTATGTTGAATTTTTTCAAGGTGGGTCGGTAGCCCAATGCTTAACCCCCAACTTGGAGGACCAGTACTATAAAAAAATTCTATAGTATAATACAAAAACAGACTAAAAAACAAATGTGCCTTATTGAATTTCACATGACCAATAGCCAACCAATTAGAGAGTTGTGAATTGTCTAGTCCCACCCTCCTTGTTAAACCAGTATTAGTTTTTTCTGGTTACCCGTTTGCTTGTTAATAGTTTCTGCTTATAGTCTCCTCTTGCCTGCTGTTCTGCGCTAGTTTGTTGTCATTTATCGCCTTGTCCTGTACTGTCATGTCTTCCAGCCCTGATCCCTGCCAGCCTGCCCTGTCAAGTTTGTTTGTTTATTTGTTTTGTTAATGTTTTCCCCCTCAGGGTTGTTTTTGTTACCTTTTTGTTTTATTTTTATTATTAATAAACCCATTTTAAGTTACTGCAATTGAGTCCTCGTCTCTTAACTACCCAAATGTGACATGTTCACTTTCACTTTTCTGTGTTAAAAGGGCTGGGCTGACCAAAATATTATTGGAAATTATGATTTACAGATATAAATGAACAAATGAATATTGTTAGAACAAAAAATATATTCTAATAATATTTATAGAACAATAAAAAAATGAATAAATGATTTATATGTTTAAATGAAGAACATGTTTACAACAAAAACAAAGCATTACAATGTGTAAATATAATAAAAAATAGATATATTTCCAAAAATAAAAAGTTAAATGATGACAGGATTAATAAAAAATAGAATACGACTTTGCCAGGAGCAAGGAGCTCTAAATCTGCTTTTATAAACGTTAAACACCCACAATGCAACTGCATGACAGTAATACGCCAACATAAATGAGATATTAATGAACTCAAATAAATAAGCAAGATCTAATTTAAGAAAAATAATTAGTAAGACAACAATTAAAAGCACAATTAGCTTAAGTGAAAAATAATGACGAATAAAACACAACAAAGGTTTCGATTAATGATTAAAAAAAGCAGAATGCAAAAAAAAAAAAAAAAAGTTGAATTATAAAGGTGAGAGAGTATGCTTGTGCACATGAATGTGGTGAATATGTAACAGAAGGCTGTGTGTGTGAGTCAGGCTAACCGTGTCAGCTCAGTTTCCACACTGCCTGCTAACAGTCTTACTTATACGAACACAAACGCACACACACAGGAACACGCGCCAAAGTCACGCTAGGCTGAGCAGACTATGGGCTCGCAGGGGACGGTCATCTCGCTGTCAGTTATGCCTCAAAACACCAAGACCTGCACACTCCGGTGCATCAGGCCAATACACTTCTGCTCTCTCTCTAACATGGCCTGGCATTGATATGTCCATTTCCTTTCATTTGCAAAGGTAATAGTTCTCTCTTGACAGCACGCCGTGATTCTGCCGTATTGACTATGCAGAGGGTGGGGGTGGTGGGGGGGAGCATCGGGAAGAGGGCCGAGTATGCCGGGACAATCAAATCTGCCATTGACATTCTGTGCTTGGCTGGGGCCGGAGCTGGTTCCCTTCCCAGCTCTCTTAATCTCAAGTCCATTATTTGTAATTCTGAGTCCAATTCCCCATGCCTGTGCCGCTGCCAGCCCGCCGGGTCTGTGTACGGCATCAACAAATGAGGCTTCCCGTTTGGAGCGCACAGGCTGGGGGAAGAGTGGCGATGCAGCCAGTGGAAACTTGTGGGATTTTGGTCAGCCACAGGGGTGTGTGTGTTTGTGGAGTGTGTGTTTGAAGAGGTTGGCATTACGGGTTGGTCGGGTGTCTCGCACGCACACGTGTGCATAAACACACAATTGGCATGCCTGCTGCGTGTTGGAGGTAATCCGATGGCAGGATCAGCCCCCTGGAGTGTGTAAGAGTGTGTGTGAGCCAGTTCATCTGTGTTTGTCTAACTGAGTTGATCTCCTCCATCTTCAATGGAATCTAATATCTCGTAATAAATAGCTCTTTCAGCTCCTTAACAATTGTTTTCTCTTTCTGAAACTGAAATGACTTGCTTAAACAATAGTAATGTGTGTATGTAATGTTAAACATCACTCAAATGATGCTGCTTTTTGAGGAGAATTGAGCTATTACTGGTCTAAGTGATGTTTAGACTTCTAATTTTCACTTGTGTTAAAATAAAATAGGCGAATCATAGAGACTTGAGGTGGATTATTGAATTAAGCCAGCAATTAACTACATGGGGCATCTGAGAAAACCTTTTAGTAATGCCCTAGCAAACAATTGGAACATAGAAGCAAGAGCGAAGCACACCCTTGCAATAATATAAGTGTCTGTACAATTTTTTGGAAGAATTTAAGGGTGCTTTCACACTTGGTTTAATTGCCTGGTCCGAATCTAAGATCGATTGTCCCCAAACTTTTCTGCTGGTTTGTGTTCAGAACATCTTTTTTTTTCTGAACCCTGGTACGCTTGTTTCGTTGAGCTGCTGTTGTGTGTACAGGTCATGAGGCTTGGTGACAGCCACGAAAGCCAAGACACTAAAATGGAACAACGTACGCCCATCACGTTTGTTGTGGTTTTACTGAATCTTTTGATTTTAGTAACATACAGAGAGCGACTTGCGTCTATCTGCCGCAAAAAAATAGTGGAAACGTTCAAAATATCATGCAAGTTGTGCAGTAGTTTTTTATGAGACAAGCTGACATATTACTCTGTTTGCACTGGCTCAGTCACAATTGTCACAAAGCTAACATTAGGTGGTACACAAACATACACACACAAATGAATGTTATGAAAACTAAAGTTTGTTGTACAGTTTGTGGTTCACTTCTGATATTTGGTACGATTGCATTCATATTAGAAGTGAACTGGAGAGTACGCGCGGACCGTACCCCAGATCACCCTTTTAGGCAGACTCGGGACAGTTTGTGGGTGCACACCTTAGTTCAGAAGACATCCTTCACACTAACTAAATGTACTGTACTCTGACGTCAAACAAACCCAGGTGCGGACCAAAAGTGCTAGTGTAAAAGCACCCCAATACTTTTATTTCAGTAGAGTCAAAGACTGTGTCTACATGGACATCAGTAATCAAATTATTTACCTTAATCTAATTAAGATAATAATAAGAATAAGGTGTTTACATGAGTTGCTTTTTAAATGTTCCTTTCATGATCCTGTTTTACATGTTAAATGAATCAAAATCGCTGTTTACATGGCAGACTCTTAATCAGAGTACTGTCTTAAACATATTAAAATTGATTATTGGTGTCCATGTAAACATACATAATGAGACCAAATATAACAATGAGAATATTTTTAAAAATAATCAATAATTCTAAAACAAATCTTTTTTTTTTCACAAAACCATGGAAATCTGCATGTTTGACTGATTTGTGAAGGATCATGTGGTGACACTAAAGAATGAATTAATGATGCTGAAAATTCACCTTTGGTGTCACCTGACTATTTGTAATATTATTTAATGGTAACACTCAACAATAAGGTTGTATTTGTTAATGTTAGTTAATCCATAAACAAACAATGAACAATACATTCATTACCATATTTGCAAATGTTAGTTAAGATCAGTTAAGCAAAATACCGTTGTGCATTGTTAGTTCATGTTAACTCACGGTGCAATATGTAAGTTTGACATCCAGTGGCTGAACTAGGTAGTGCACTCCTGGATCAAAAACGCACGTGCAAGTTGCCAGAATGAGGACAGGAACGAGTGAATTAAACCGTGTTCTGTCTGTGGCATGGAGCAGGTTAAAATTATTAAAACAAAAACAACCATTCTGGCACAGAAAACATGTTTTCAAACCTGAATAACTGAATTCAGCATGGTTTTTCAGATAAACAAGTATGTTCACTTGGCATGTTTCTTAAATACCTGCAAAGATATTATGGTATTTTTATGCATTAGAAGAGTCAAAAACTTACATACAGCACCTTTAATCAACGTTAACAAGCATGAATTTGGATGTTATTAATGCATTAGTGAATGCTGAACTATGATTAATGAATGCTTTACATGTTGTTCATAATTAGCTCACGTTAGTAAATGCATTAAATAATTTAACTTTATAGTAAAGTGTGCCCCATTTAACAATATTACTGCTTTTTTACATCAGGTAAAGTCATTCTGAACAAGAAAAACTCTTTCAGCAACATTTTAAATCTTACCAAACCCACAAACTCTGTAATATTAGTTGTTTGTATTAAATAGAATAGCAAAGTAGTTTAAATAATTACACACTTCATCCTTAAATATCGGCTTTCCTCTTTTGTGCTCTCAGGGTTGTCAGTGGATGATTCTCGATGCTTTAAGAGAGGCCTTTTAAGTGGCCAAAAAGGAGAGCAAAAAAAGTCACACTCTCCAATTTTGCTTGAAGTTGTTGAATTGGCGTTAATCATACTGTGAAGCCACTCAAAGCTTAGAGAACTTTCAGATTGAATATTTCAAGTTTCATGTGTGTGTCTCTGTGTGTCTTTTTGTGGGTTGTGTGTGTGTGTGTGTGTGTGTGTGCACGCGTACCTTGCAGTTATTGAAACCCTCTGCAAAAAGGGTGATCTCAGCTATAAGGGTGGAATCTGGCACCACCATAGAGATTGGCCGAAACATGGACTTCAAATTATCAGGCAACTCTGTTCGGCCGGCGTAACCTACAGAAGAAACAAACCAGAGGAATCATTAGAACCACAATAACAAAAACAAAACATCAACCCTATAAAAAAATTAAAAGTAATAATTCCAAGAAACTCATCATTTACCCTTGAACTGTTTCAAACATGAACACATTTTAGTTTATTCTTAGATTTTTTTTATGCCCCAACCACACTTTTTCATATTATGCACTTGCACAATGTATTGGAGAATAGTGCAGTCAAACTCCATTATAATACTAAAACTAATTCTAATACTAATACTAATACTAATACTAATACTAATACTACTAATAACACCTTAAAAGCATAATAAAGTACTATATAAAACTAGCATGCAATAGAGGTTGTTTTCAATCACGTGGTTCTGGTGAGGCGCGAAATTCAGATGGACGGCAGGAAGTAAAAAACTGAATAGGAGACATAGAGGAAAGTCTGTATTTTTTCGAATTATACCATATTTGACGTCTATAAGTTGGATTTTGGTTGCCATACCTGACGAATAAATGTGAGAATTCAACATCAATATGATGTTGGTTTAAGATGTTGGCTCGATGTTGAATTTTGTTCACTTTCCAACAAAATAAATATCAACATCAAATATCAACATCATTTGACGTTGCTATTGGACATCAAAATTACGTTGTCCTTAGACGCTGGACATTGAATTTTGGTCATCTGACATCACAACCTAAATCTAACCTAATATTAATGTCTTTTGATGTTGTGTGCCAGCTAGGCAATAACTAAATGCACTACAGAATGTTACGTTTACACACACAAGCACAAATGTAAACGCATCAGCATTTAACAGTGTAATACTCACTACTCACTACTTTTGAGTTCTTATGAAAGATCTTTTTACTCATACTTTTTACTCATACTTTGAGTTATATTTAAAACAGATACTTTTACTCTACCTGCTCTACATTTCTAGGCAAGTAATGGTATTTTTACTTGAGTATAATTTTTCAGTACTCTTTCCACCACTGTATAACACCGTATCATATTTAAATATATAGAAAGACCTGTATATAATCTATATTGGTGCAGTCAAACAAGTTATCGTGTTCAAAAAAGTTTGTACACATGGATGTATTGAAAGAATGCTTTCTTCCAATTTCAGCTAATTTCTTGAAATGTTCCCTCTTTTTGAATCTTTGGAAGTCCATAAACGCTGTTCGGCATTTCTTATTTTGGCCAATTTAAACAATTATAAATAACATAAAAGATAAATATTTTGCTGCTCTAATAGTAATTCCTATGTAGAAGAACCACTTGCCGCCCCCAGTCTTATACGTCATCATTAGCCCCTTTCACACAGTGATACCGGTAAATATCCGGAAAATTTACGGAACGACTTTACCGGTATATTCAAAAAAGCGCTGTTCACACAGGCGAGGACGTTACGGAAATTTTCCGGAAAAGAGCGTTCACACATCCATTCCAAAATACCGGTAAATTCTGACATCATTCACCACAAATGAGCTTTAAACGGCTGCGCTTGTATTTGTAAACATTTGACTAAATTACAAACTCTTTTGATGATCAATATTGTGAACAACTTTCGCAGGATCACTTTCGCATGTCGAGATCATAATATGTGTGTGTGCTGGCGCTCACAGGCTGTTTCATGGGCACACGCAAAGCTTGAAGGTAAACAAACAACGGCTTATCATAAGCATCTTATCGATGATTATTTGCACAGTTGGCATTAAGAAGAACATATAAACGTGATCTGACTAACTTCTAGCAGCTAAATGCGTCTGGAAAAATATTCAAAGGCTTTTATTCTCACAAACCGCGCGGACGTAAATGCGTCTGACTGTTGTGATTGGCTAAAGCAGACGTCTCACGTCAGCACGTTCTAGACGTGCACGCGCTTATTCCGGAAATATTTCTTCTGCGTTCACACAGCGCAGCATTCCGGCAAATTGCCGGTAATGTTACAACTTCTCTTTCCGGAAAATAGCCAGAACGAATTTACCGGTATTTTCAAAAAGGACCTGTTCACACATACAACCTTTCCGGAAAATTGCCGGTAATTTTCCGGAAAGGTCTGTATGTGTGAAAGGGGCTAATGACATCATTTGAAAACAACCTATATGTTTCAAGTGTTTTGGAGCCATACAATTTCAGATAAAAAAACCAGACCAAAATACATTGTTCTTATTCAGTGAAAATCTTGACATCCACTTTTTACAGGGATGCAGTGCTAGTGATTAAATGCTTCCAGAATGTAAAGATTTCAGTAATTAATGACTTAAGGCCTTGACAACACAAAGATGAGATTGTTGAGTTAGCATATCTATACCAGCTTGCGCAAAGTGTTCAAGCGTAACTTATTACATTTAGTTATTATTTTTAATTTGCTATATGGCCCTTAGATGCCGTTTTTTTTGCCACACAATTTTAAAGTACCATATGGCTTCAAAGGACCAATGTGTCTACCTTTATGATGTGTTTTTGCTATTTTGGAGACTGAGAGCCTCATTAACTTTCATTATATGAAATAAGTCAGCAGACAAAATCCTGTTGCGCAGAAAAAAAAGAAAGAAAGGCTATTGACATAATACAGAAACATTATGTGAGAGAACAGCCAGAGAATTCTGACTTCAAGGTGAACTATTACTTTCATAAATCAACACAACAAAAACATGCACCTGGGTTCATGGTGATGAAGATCCCGCAAGACCAGATCAAGTTGATCTGTCTGCCCTCAAAGCTGAAATTATTGAGTCCCGCAGACAGAGCAGACAGGATCGACAGAATCTGCTGAGCCACCACGGACAGCACCTCAATGTTTATACGGTTAAACTCATCAAAACATCCCCATGCGCCTGTCTGGGGAGAGAGAGAGATGCACATATTCAGCAACATTACATTACCTGTTCTTCAATTTGGTCCTTGAATGATCTGACTTATTGAATGACTTAAATGATACTGAACATACCTGAGCCAGGCCAGAGTACATGCGGCCCATAGATTTGAAGTCCAGACCCTCTGAGCAGTTAACCACTATCACATACATGCCCAAAGATTTACCCAGATCTTTAACAGTCTCCGTCTTCCCAGTTCCAGCAGGGCCTTTGGGAGAACCACCTCGGTGCAGATGAAGTGCTGTGGTCAAAGTCATGTAGCACCTACACAGAACAAATACACTGATGAGCCAAAACCTTATGACCAGTCAGAGGTGAAGTATTCACACACTAATCATCTCCTAACAAAGTCATATATTAAGGTCTTCTTGCAGAGTCAATTCAGATCATTGAGATATTACTGTGATTGAACCTATCCACCCAGTCAAAATCTAGCAATTTAAAAGGACAAGTAAAGGGCCATTCTGAATGCCACACAGAATGCATCTATGCGTTCATGCATCTAAATACAAAAGACACACAAATCAGGAATGCTTTTGAAAAATGCAGCATAGAGTGTGAGGGTATCCATACACAATCCGTTTGTGAGCCTGTCATGGTAGCTTGAAACGCTGTGAAATCAAATAAAACCATTGTCATGCTAACTTGCTACTGTAAAGTGACGTTTGCAACACTTTCCCCACCTCTGAGGCCGTACTCACACTAGGTACAGTTGCCTCGAACCGGGCCAAAGCACGCTTGTCCCCCCTCCCGTCTCCCCCGACGGCCCGCGCTCACACCATATCGGGCCTCGGCACGCTTACGTCATCGCTGCTGCGCTGTTCAGAAGCGCTCTCTATGGCAAGCCTTTTTAGCATTTAAATCTTTGTTCTGACTCCATAAATATATTTAGAGATATCTCTAATTATATTTTGACTAGTCATAATTATAATTCGACTAGTCAGAATAACAATTAGAGATATCTACAATTGCAATTGTACTAGTACGAAATCAGATTGGAGATATCTGCAAATATATTATGACTAGTCATATTCCTCCATTGACTTTCATTGAAAAATATTTGCAGATATCTCTAACTGAGTTTTGACTAGTCACAATTGTAATTAGAGATATCTCTAACTGAGTTTTTACTAGTCATACATTTGGAGATGTCTTTGATTCGTAATATTTAGAGATATTTACAAATATATTTGAAGATATCTCTAATTAATTTACTAATAGTCGAATTACAGTTGTAGATATCTTGAATTGGATTTTTGACGAGTCAAAACTCAGTTAGATATATCTGCAAATATTTTTTAATGGAAGTCAAGGGAGGAATATGACTAGTCATAATATATTTGCAGATATCTCCAATCTGATTTCGTACTAGTACAATTGTAATTGCAGATATCTCTAATTGTCATTCTGACAAGTCGAATTATAATAATGACTTGTCAAAATATATAATTATATCTCTAAATATATTTATGGCTAGTCAGAACAAGGTTTAAATGTTAAAACGGCTTGCCATACGCTCTCACTCAGCAGCACAGTGGAGATTTCTCGAGTTATATCCTTTCAGTCGTTTGTTATGCAGTGACATGCAGTCAAATATTTCGCCAAACAGTCCTTAGGGATGCGGGGACACAGTCAGATATTTTAGCGAACAGATACGCCACTTTTGGCGCTCATAAACAATCAAAGCTCTCGTGCTGCAGGAATGAGGAGGTCTGCTGAAGGCGCGCAGCTGGCGTGCTGTGAGGAGTTTGCGTCTTTAATAAACTACGGCAGTTTGCGATCACTGAACTGTAAGAATGATTAATAAATCCATATCAAACAGTCCCATAAAAGTCACGTCTCGCTTTCGGTTTCGGGCTTTGGCGCGTTTCGCGCTCACACACAAGCGTACCGCGCCAAAGCCCAAGTGTACCGCGCTCAGGCACACCTCTTCCAACCGGGCCAGGGCTGGCCAAGTGAACCGTGCTTGAGCCCGATTCAGCGCACTCACACTTCTCAAACGATCCGGGAAACGGGCCTGGGCACGGTACGGATGGCATAGTGTGAGTAGGCCCTGAGTTTTTCTAATTGGTCCACTGTTTACAACAAAACTTAGTAGAGCATTGGAATAGAAAAACACATACAGTTGAAGTCAGAATTATTAGCCCCCATTTTATTTTATTTTTATTTTTTTTTAATATTTCCCAAATGATGTTTAACAGAGCAAGGAAATTTTCACAGTATGTCTGATAATATTTTTTTCTTCTGGAAAAAGTCTTATTTGTTTTATTTTGGCTAGATTAAAAGCAGTTATTAATTTTTTAAAAACCTTTTTTGGGACAAAATTATTAGCCCCTTTAAGCTAATTTTTTTCGATAGTCTACAGAACAAACCATCATTTTACAATAACTTGCCTAATTACCCAAACCTGCCTAGTTCACCTTATTAACATAGTTAAGCCTTTAAATGTCACTTTAAGCTGTATAGAAGTGTCTTAAAAATATCAAGTAAAATATTATTTACTGTCATCATGTCTAAGATAAAATAAATTTGTTATTAGAAATAAGTTTTTAAAACTATTATGCTTAGAACTGTGCTGAAACAATCTTCCCTCCATTAAACAGAAATAGTTAAAAAAAAATAAACAGGGGCGCTAATAACTCAGGGTGGCTAATAATTCTGACTTCAACTGTAGGCTATGACTGAAATCGCATACTTCCATACTATTGCAATCGAAGGATGCTGGACATCGGAGTTGAGAATCCACACGCAGTTTATTAAACTGATTAGTCAGGTAGGCAATGGTCAAAACAGGGGCAAAGAGAAGCATACATTAATCCAAAATATGTAGTCAAACACAGGCGAATGGTCAGAACAGGCGGTGAAAACAATAAAAACAATAAAGCAACGCAAAAGGTCAAAAACATGGCTAGAGAAGGCAAAACAAGAAAACGTTTCGTGAAGCTACAGACTAACAAGACTCAGTCTAGAAGTGTGTGTGTGTGTCCTGTGCTTATAGTCCTGGTAATAAGACAGAATGATCTTCACCTGTGTTTGCGTGCCTGCGTCTGTATGCGTGTGTGTGAATTATTGTCAACTGTAGCTGTGTTGATAGGCACAAGCATTAGTTGTAGTTCATGTGATGGCAGATGTAAAGTTCTCCAGCGATCTGCATAGGCTAGATCGCTGGTGATCATCACAACTACAATTAATATATATATATATATGTATTTTGGCTTGTTCAAACTAATTATTTAAAATAAACAGAATCAACACAATTCTTGAGATTTTATTGGGACAACTTAATTTTTTTTTTAAGTGTTAAGTTAACTTAATCGATTTGTGTTGGGACAACATGAATTAATTGTGTGAAACCCAGCATTTTTCACAGAGTATATAATACGTTACAAACAGTATGCGAGCTGATTAGTATGTCTGAATTTAAAGTATTCAAAAAACAGCATGTGTGAAGTACCCAAATGACTGTTTACATCAGGGGTGGGCAACATAAATGCAGAAGTTCACATTGATGGTCACACAGCTGTCTTTTTGAACTTTTTATTTTTTAATATGAAAATTGCAAGCGACTCATTATCAGTACAGTGATGACTTCCAAGTCTGCAATTGGCCATTCCTATTTTGGTCAAAACAGCACACAAAATAGCCTACAATTAGAAAATATCATTATTATAGATATTTTAGTTGAAATTTGAAAGCTCCTTCATAGACAGCAAGGTTCCTGACTTGTTCAGTGTCAGTATAGAGTGCACATATTGTGCTTGGCTGCTCCTGTGACATATTTTTTAAAATGCTGCTGGGCTTTGTTTTAAACATAGAAAGTTGAGCGTTGGCATCCGGCGGACAACACATTATAATCGTCACTCATGCTCCTGAATGTGGCGTGCGCCCTATACTGACACTGAAGAAAAAAGACTGTTGAATAAAGTCATTATTTTTGTTTTATGTGTGCACAAAAGTATTCTTGTAGTTTGATAAATTTTTAGGTTGTTTTTTTGTACCTTTCTGAACTTTGCTGTCAGTGGAGGATGAGGGAGTTCCATTCATACAACCCACATTCATACTATGTAAAACATAATTTTCTAATTGTCATGTAGTAAATTCATATGCAGTACATATTTGAGTAGTAGGCGATTTCAGATGCAGCCATTCAATGTGAACGACCCTTAACTATTGCCACTATTGCTTTATCCATTAATACAAACTGTTTGTACTTTTTACTGTGTACCAAGTGTGTTTTTGAACTAAATCACATCAGTTATCATCTATAAAGTTGTATGCTGTCAAACATAAATGCAGAAATTCACATTGATGGTCAAAAAGCTGCCTAGAACTTTTGAATTTTTAATATGCAAATTGGTAGCGAACTATATCAGAATAGTGTTGACTTCCCAGTCTGCAATTGGCCGTGCCTATGTTGGTCAAAACAGCACACAAAGTAGCCTACAACTAGAAAATGTTCCAATCCTCGGAGACTTTTCTTCATCATCGTAACACAATTGAATATATTTTTGATGAAATCTGAAAGCTCCTTCATAGACAGCAAGGTTCCTGACTTGTTCAGTGTCAGTATTGACCTTATTCTTCAATGCGGAAGTGCGCCTGTTTTCGCGATTGTTTTAGAACTTCGGATTCAGTCGCCTATGGGAGAAATGACTAGGAATAATAAACGGCAGAAAACGGTTATACTACTTGCTCTACAAACATATGTTTGCATGACTATACAGAACAAGTAGAATAATATAATAAGGAAATATCAGTTTGCAACATCAAACAGCGAAACGAGCAGTTTTTAATGTCTAAAAATGAATAGAAGTGAGTGAGACCGGAAGTCTCAAGCCAAAAAGATTCAAATGTCTGCGCCTGCTCGTAGGCGAAGAATAAGGTAAATTAGGGTGCACGTATTATATGAGGCAGTGCTTTATTTCAAACATAGAAAGTGGAGCGTTGGCATCCAGCGGATTAAACATTATAATCGTCACTTATGCTCATGAATGTGGCGTGCACCCTATACTGACACTGAGGAGAGGAAACTGTTCAATAAAGTCATTTTTTTTTTTTTTTGTGCACACAAAAAGTATTCTTGTAGTTTGATTGGATTGCAATTGTACCACTGAAGGCATAGGGTTTGTTTTTAGGATGTTTTTTGTACCTTTCCGAACTTTGCTGTCTACGGAGGATGAAAAAGCTTTCAGATTTAATCTAAAATATCTTAATTTGTGTTCCAGATCTCAAGGTTTTGCAATGACATTAACATAATTTTCATTTTTGGCTGAACAAACACTTTAACACATTAGGATTCGAAACATAATTTGCAAACATCTGGAGACATGTTATAGCAGTTCTTATGGCTGGTATAAAAACAGACACAGACAGACTGGCACAAACACTGTCATTCGTTGAAATCTCATGCATTTGTAAGCCATACACACATGGAAAAAGAGACAGACAGGCTTAAGCACATTGTCCATGTCCTTGAGTGGGCTTAAGATGTCACCCTCTCAACATAATAAACCCGGATTAGATTCTTCCTTTCATTCCACTGGAGGCACGTTCGGTGCTGATTTTCTGCGGTCTCTGAAGGCACACAACAGGAAATCCGCCATTGACTCCTGACTCCATTTCCTAGCTGAAATCTTTGCATAGAATCATGCAGAAATTCACATTTTTGTTTTATTATCTCTCAGAGACATCTGGAGCTCCTCTCTGTGTGTGTGTGCAGGTGTGCTCCTGCTGATGGAGCGGTGAAGATCGTGACTGATAAGGTTAATGACATGATCCCAGTCTCTTCTCATAATGACTAGGATAATGGCTAAAGTTAGATAACAGCATTAGAGTCCCCATAATGATCATTATACACCAGCTGATCACATCAGTCAAATGCAGGAGTTGAGACTGTCATACAGGACAGGATATTGATATCTCTAACAATCTGAGAGTTATTGTATAATATGAGAGTGTAGGCGATTATATCAGCTGCAGGTTATATATATATTATCTTTGTAATGTTAATGTTTCATGTAATATGACACCTGGGCAAAATTCACTCTCATCATTGAACTTAGGACCTGAAATCAACATACTGTTTTAAGAGTGAGTCAAATAATACAGACTTCACTTATGTCTGTTCTGTTTGATAAACTCAGGGAGCAAGTCATTGAGCCATTTGATTTATTAATTAATTTTTTAAAAGCTTGATTTTTTAAAAAATATTATTGACAAACATATGATGCATGAATGCTTTTATAAAACTAAAATAAAAAACAACACTGATAAATTGAATTAAATTTGTGGAAATGGATGAGTTGGGAAAGAAAATGAATTAAGGCAGATATTAAAGTGCCTGACAAACATTGGGTGTCCCCGAATGCCCTTTAAAAAGATGACTGAGAGAATCTGATATATAATAATATATATTATATAACGTTCTTGTCATTTCAGCATTTTGAAAACATGCACAATTATTAATTAATTTTTTAAAAAATATATTGTTCTTTAGATTCACATTTTAGAAGGAAATGTGGCTGTGATGCTACATTCAAATCACCGCAGGGTTTTTTCTCTTTATAACTTGATGTTTTCTTTATTTTATTTTTTTTATTCATGACATTTAAATGTTTATGACTTCTTATTTTTCATTATTTCTGACATTTAAAGCATTCCGCACCACATATATCTTGAATATCTACTGTACTACTATATTTTATTGCAGTGGACAGATAAATAACTGACAAAATATGTAATTCTGGTGGGGGAAAAACAGGACAGGGAGAGTAAAAAAAGCTTGTTTAATTTTTATGAAGTAATGTGAAACAATATTGAAAATATACTGTTTTTATTTGGACTTCCACTATGCATGCTTTAGAAACCCCTTTAAAGTCATGTAATGTATGTATTTATCAGACCCGATTTTTTTTTTTTTTTTGCGATTCCGTGATTGCTGAATCCAACGCAAAATCAACAAATAGTCGATTTTTTTTTTGAGATTCTGCTAAATTCTTAATTAAACACAAAATAATCACAAAAAATGTAAATAATCTCATTAAACATTCAATTCCAAACTATGTAGACTCCAATTAGATTTATTTTAGTTTGCATTAAATTGTTTTACATGACTTAAAAAAGTTTCATGCGCAGCACACGTGATGTGATTGAGTGTCTCTCGAAAAATGACAGCTAACCTGCGTCCTCAAAATTATTATATTAAAAGGAATGGTAGGGGGATGGGGAAATTGTGTTGTAGCCTGGGCAGTAACGCGGATGAAGCGCAAGTGATTTACATGCGAAGTCAAAGCAAAGATGCGATTAGACATTGAATTGCGAATTGGCTGTTTTGTGCCTTTGACACACTTCAGACTGCAAAAAAAGTGGGAAACATCTAACAAACATTATTTGTGCACTACATGTATGGCTGGTATTAAGTCAAATCGAAAAATGATTTTGTTAAACTCTTTCGCTAGAATTAACAAGAGAAAACGCTTTCCTCCCAATGACGAGTTATATGGTAATCCGTGTTTCAGGTGTATTATGGTAGAGGAAGCCCCAATGCATGTCTTCAGTGAGGTACATGATGTCAGATGCTCGGGGAAGTGAATTCTGAGAGAAAGAAAAATCGTGCATTAAAAAATTGTGCATTTGGGGTCTCTCCACACCACCACCAGTGTGCAGCATCCACCTCAATGATGCTATGGCAGCCACAGGACAACGCCGCCAGTGCGCTCACCACACACCAGCTATAGGTGGAGTGCAGAGACAGTGATAGAGGCAATTTGGTAGATGGGGATGATTTGGAGGCCATGATTGGTAAGGGCCGATGGAGGGAATTTGGCCTGGACACCTACTTTTTACTAAAAGTGCCCTGAGATTTTTAATGTCTACAGAGAGTCAGGACCTTTGTTTAAAATGTCATTCGAAAGACGGCACTCACTGAAGATATAGTGCCCTCTTCACTATACTGGGGCAATAGGACTCATACAGATCACAGGTTGAGCCCCCTCTGCTGGCCTCCCTAACACCGCTTCCAAAAGAAAGCAACATAGTTTTTCCCATGTGGTTTCCCATCCAGATACTGACCAGGCTCAGCCCTGTTTAGCTTCAGTGAGTAACCTGTGTTGGGCTTCAGATATTACCTGTCTGTGAGAGGGGTGATGACCAGACGACCAGAGTTGCCCAGGTACTCGTAGCCATAGCGAAAGTGTGTGTTGGTCTGTCTGATGATGCAATCGTCCACATCCTAAACACACACAAAGTAATTTAAATAGGCATGAACACCTTCTTCTAATTCTCTATGTGAGCACCACCTCTTTATCCTGTACCTTCTCCCAGTAAAGGCGGAGTTGGCACAGCCAGTCAAATGCGTTGACATCACAACAGCCCCCTTTTGCCAGCTTGCTGATGACATCACGGGCGTGGACCTCCACCGTGACAAGAGCGACAATCTTCAAGCGTAGAATCTTGGTTAAGTTCCCTCGTATGGCTTCAGAGTATTGATTGAGCATGGACACCTGAGTAACACAACCCAAACACTCATTATTGGAAGAAAGAGAAGCTCAGACACAACAAAATCTAATTTTATGGATCAGAGTTCCAGATCAAAACTAACCTCTGTTTCTTCAAACAAACCCAGTAAACATCAACTCAGATGCTTATATGCAAATCAATGACAAAAAAATCCCCACCACCCTAAAGCCCCATGAAGCCACACTCTGAGACTAAATCTCAACTGTCAAACACACAGAGACAGACCTGAGCCATTCTCTGTGTCTCACTGGCTTTGGCTTATAAAACGCGATTGGATTAAATTCATATGAGCTGCCGTCCCTAATTAACTTGTGCATCCCGTGCTCCAAGTACAAACACACATGAAATGAATAATCATTTTTCCATAAAGGGTTTGAGTGAAGTCAGTAGCAAAAATGGAGTTCATCCACCAATTATTAGCAGACTCGTATTGAATCTGTGCCCACAGTTCTCCACAGAGAGCTCCGCAGATTTCTGCAGAATCAGAACACCTGTCATTCCTAAAATTCGACAAATCCCCCAGCGCTTGCGTGTTTGTTAATTAAATATCTGGACTCATTTTATTTTGCTTTCAGCTACAAACAAAGTGTTGTACTCTCAGCTTCATTTAACAACATGTTGTAATCTATTCCAGAGATTCCCACAGATTTCCTTCTAAATCAATGTAAAAATAAGGGGAAAAGACAGCGTGTTGTATCTTTCTCAAAACAGAAATTTAAAATCAAAGTACAAAGTATTCACATACACTTGTAGCACCACAACTTTTATCAGTAGTCAAGAGACATGAGACGTTCATTCATGTTTACTTAGTACTATGACTAGTTTACTAGATTAATCAATGCTCATAAGTTTTACAAATGAGATTTCACTCTGGTTGAAACAACTCAACATTTAGTTTAGTTTGATTTATTATTTAAATAAAAAACAAAGCACTGATGAAATTTCTTTACTATTTAAAATAAAAATGTTGTAATTTTGAGCATTTTTTGGCATAAAATAACTAAAGGTTGCTTGTTTTAAAGGTCCAATTAATTAAAATAATATCTATAAGCTAGTTTGGTACAAAAATGACAGAATTTGTGTTTAAAAGTCATAAACCCGTTATAAACATCTAAAGTTTGTAGTTTGTTACATCCACCTAAATGGTTCAACGTTTTTTTCACCTCGCTTCATATTTCAGTTTCTCATCAAATCTTGACAAATAAATGCTCTATTGTATCTGACATGCCCCGCCCCCTTCAAGATGTTTCTCATTTACATTTCATTAGATGTGCTGGAGCTCAACTATTCTCACTGGCAGCGCTGTGATAAAACAACGCTATTGGGTGTTTCTTTAAAAGAGGAGAAGCTACACTTTGTCCGGCCCTCTCCTCACATTTCAGTTAGGATTATGTCAAACACTGAATAAACAATACAGATTTCACAGCACTTCAAGGGACCTTTAACCTCAATATTTAGATTAAGATATCAATATTTGGAATATCTCTGATTTTCAATCACAACAAATAAGAAAATTCATTGTTCTCATCAATAGCTTTCACATACATGCACACACATTTACTTTATAGTGTTCAAAGCAGTAATCTTTGGCCTTCTAGCCTAAATGTGGTCCAAATGTGTTCAGCTCTCCCCTTACCTGTTTCTTTTTCAGTGATTTAAGGGCAGATTTATCTGCTCTCTCTTTGCTGGTCATAAGGGCTCTGGTGACATCTGTGGTCCACTGGATTTGACTGGCTGTGATCAACATCTACAAAGACACACAAAACACATTTTACAGCTGATTCACATAACGCTTTAGCGCAAAGGCTTGATGGGGGCGTGTCTAAAGTTGGGGCTGACACGATCCTCATAGCAGCGTCAGCCAATGAAATTAGTCAGCAACTGGCTACTGTCTGAGTTGGGGTATTTGCATAAAGCGATCTGATTGGCTGACGCTACCATTGGTGCTTGAAAAGTTGAGAAATTAGCAACTTCTACAGCGAGCAACGCTACAGAAGCGGCACCAATGGATCCACAATATAGTCAGACAACACTTGACACCACCCATTCAAAGTAAATGGGAATTGTTGATGCTGACGCCCTGTGTGAATGCGATTTGTTCATTCATTTTCTTTTCGGCTTAGTCCCTTTAATAATTAGCGGTCGCCACAGTGGAATAAACCACCAACTTATCCAGCATATGTTTTACGCAGTGAATTCCCTTCCAGCTGCAACCCAACACTGGGAAACACCCATACACTCTCATTCACACACATACTCTACAGCCAGTTAAGCTTATTCAATTCACCTATATCGCATGTCTTTAGACCGGAAGATACCTACGTGAACGCAGGGAGAACAGGCAAACTCATGCGATCATGCAACCCACTGCGCCACTGTGACACCATGTGAATGCAATGTTACTGTTAATTAACTGCACATACACAAACACAGGCATGCAAACAGACTAACACACACGCAGACACTCACCTGTCCTGGCCAGTCTCGCACCCATTTGCCCCTTTTCCCTGGCATCTTCTTGAGAGCCATGGAGCAATTCCTCAGGGAGTCCTTCAGAGTCCAGCGCATGGTTCGCTCAACATCACACAACCATGCCTATAGACACATAAAAGATGAAAAACCTAATGGAGAGTGCATTCGTCAAGAAAGGCTGTTAAAGTAATGTAGGTTTGAAACCCACCTCCACTGGCCCCTCCAGAAGAACAGGATGAGTGAAGTCAACAAACTCCCCATCAGCTGAGAACATCCCACTGGCCTCTGACTTGTTACCAGTCCCGACCTTAAAACACATATACAAATATATTATTTAAACTAATATTCAGGCTTATTCCAGTGTATTTCTGAAACTTAAAATAATTTACACCAATAACATGACAAAAACAGTTGCTCAACTGCACATTGAGATTTCAGTCATATCCCCTGCAGCCTTTATTTACCTTGTTGATGCGGAGACTTTTAATGTTGTCAAAGCACTTCTTGAGGTGTGGCTGCACAGCCTCTGGGTTGCGGGACTGGCCCAGGATCTCCAGCAGGTCATCGTTAGACAGAAAGTAAAAACGAGGAAAGATCTGCCGTTTGGTCTCCAGGTACATGTCCAGAGACTTCTGAATCTCCTCTAACTTAGTGTTCATTTCTGACAGCTTCTCTAGAAGACCTGACACAACGACAAATATGGAAGATATGTGTTCTTTATTATATATTCTTCATTTATCTTTTACTATTCAGTTTCTTGCGGAGTAGGAGAAACTGCAATGGTCAGTGTGTCAACTACCAAAGGAAATCGAACCTTTAGTAGGTTTACAAAAACAACTGTAGCTGGACCTATTTCTCTCTTCTTCTTTTTTATGGATATTACAAGTCTTGTTTGGGACTGGGCTATTCCACCATGATTGAAATTACCAAAATAGTCAAAAAGAGTCCTAATATACTGTAAATGCATTCTGATTTAGGATAAAAGAAATGCATGGGATGTATGAATCACTCAGCTTTAAAAAATGTTTAAAATGTATTACATTTAATATTGTAATTGTATTGCTTTCCTCTAAAATGTACAAATGCATTAAAAAGGCAATAGCTATTATATGTATGGAATAATTGGTGATGGGTTGCTGATTTAATATAAAATAATGCATATGCAAGGTGGTGCTGTGGCCAGAGTGAGAAGCAGTTTTTGTAGTGTACTGCAAACTACTGATGTAAATTTTGCTACATTCATTCATTCATTCATTCATTCATTCATTCATTCATTCATTCATTCATTCATTCATTCGTTCATTTATTTTCCTTTGGCTAAGTCTCTTATTTATTAAGAGTCGCCACAGCGCAATGAACTGCCAACTTATCCAGCAAATGTTTTACGAGACGGATGCCCTTTCAGCTGCAACGTAGTACTGGGAAACACCCATACATACACACTCTCACACACACACACACACACTATGACCAATTAAATTTATTCAATTCATCTATAGCATATGTCTTTGGACTGTGGGGGACACAAGAGCACTCGGAGAAAACCCACGCAAACATGGGGAGAACATGCAAACTTCACACAGAAATGCCAACTGGTATTGCCTGGACTCAAACCAGCAACCTTACTACTGTGAGGCGACAATGCTAACCACTGAGCCACCATGCCACAAATTCTGCTACATTTGAAACCTAAGAAATCATAAAATGAGAATTTATCAAAATAATAAAAAGTTAAAAACTCTGTTTTCAACCAATAACACAGATTTTTTTTATCACAAAAAAAGAAAACATTTGTTATTTTAATGTCATGAGTGTTATAATTCCTCTATATGACAATATTTTAATTTAAAATGTATAGATATTTATAGATTTATAGAGATTTATAGAACAAAAAAACTCAAACACAAAGTAAATCCGTAACACTTTAGAATAATGGTCCTCTATTTAATGTATTTACTAACATTAACCAAGTATGAATAATCTTGTAAATAATTTTTCATCATAGTTCAACATTAACTAATTCATTATTAAAATCTAAAGTTGTGCTCATTAATATTAGTTAATCCACAGTGAGTTAACAGGTACTAACAGAAAGTAACATTATTTACCTTAAATTACATTAAGTAATATTAACAAAGATAAATAAATACTCTAATAAACGTATTACTGATTGTTTGTTAATATTAGTAAATAAATTAACTAACATTATTGTCACGATCGCCAGCAATCTAATCCTTGCAGATTGCTCAACAACTTTACACCTGTCATTGAACTGGACTACAAATCCCATCTTGCACCTCACACACACCAGTTTCTGATTCCCCCTAATTACACAAACACTGAACTGATTACCTGGACTTTATATCCACCTCACACGCACGCACGCATACACGCACGCACGCACACACGCACGCACGCACACACACACACACACACACACACACACACACACACACACACACACACACACACACACACACACACATACACACACACACACACACACACACACGTTGCTGAGCCTTGTTAGTCTGTAACACCATGGAGCATTTCTTTGTCTAAAGGGGGGTCGCACACTAGATGCGCCGCTCAGCAATACACCGTGCCACGCAGCGTCATGCAATTTTAGAATTCTAAACATAGATTTCTATCAGAGTACGCAATCCAGCGTCCAAGGCGCCCAGCTACGACTCGGGACACAGTTTATATTTCTGCCGCACCACAGAGCACCATCTGAATAGTTTCATGTTAAATCACATTCGAATGTGCGCACCTGGGGCCTCATGTACGAAGACTTGCGTGGAAATCTTACTAAAACATTGCGTACGCACAAAGCTGTAAATGTGCGTACGCAGAAAAAAATTCAGATGTATGAAACACTGCGTACGCCGAATCTCACGCATATTCTTTTGTACATCCGAATGAACGTGAAACTGAGCGCAACATGCACGAGCACAAAACCCCTCCCTGCCTCCTCCCCCGTATGAATATGCTAATGACTATGCTAATGGAAAAACCCAACAAAAAAGCAATGGCAAAATCAAACAAAAAGAGAAACTTTGAACAGAATGTGAATTGGAGATGCTGCTTTCGGAGGTAGACCGGAGAAAAGTGGTGTTATTTGCAAGTTTGTTCTCCGGAATTAACAACAAAAGAAAAAAATAGAGTGGGAGAGTTTAGCTGGTACGGTTAACACAGTTGGGTCTGAACATCGCACTGAGTGCATTTAAAAAAGAAATAGTGTGGTTTATATCTGTAAAGTGTTGCAGCACTCTTAGCAGTCTCAGTGGCGCACCTCATAAGAAGCATGTGATCATGTAGTGACACGTTCTAGCATAAACTCGGATCGAATCCAGCGTCTGATGAACTCTTTCTTCTTTTTTTCCCCGCTACATGTCAGATTTTGCCCACTATTTATCACGAGAAAGACAAGTAGGAATCATCAATAAGTTTGTGCATCATATTTTATTTGCACATTTATTGAATGGAAATGTTTCTGATTCACGCATGCAAATTCATCTTTAGATAGTGTCTTTATAGCAATGTGCGTGCGGTAGATTGCTCAGATTACATTGGGAAAACAGGCGACCGCTGCAAATTGTGCTTTAATGTTTAGCTGGTCAACTGTATGGTATGGAAATCTTACATACCTACTATATGAACCCGTCTCATACAGTGGCCATTGCAAGGATCAGACACTTTGTAGAGAAGAATTTAACACAACTGCCTCTAGGAGTCGCCAATGGAAATAAAACAGACACGCACAAAAAATGTGCGTACACCTGCCAGAAAGCTGCCGTGAACCTGCGCACATTCCCACGTTCAGTTCATTGTTAGTAAATCCAAACGTGAGCGATTCTGAGCGTGAAACCTGGCGTACGCAAAGTTTTTGTGCGTACGCAGAGTTGATACATGAGGCCCCTGGTGCTGTCATGTGCTGCTTCAGTCTTTCTGTGTTTGATCCTTGCCTTGTTTTATTATTTATGTTGACTCTTTGCCACCTGTATTGACCTCTTAGCCTGTGACTACGCTTCTGAATTACCCCTATGATACTGTCTGATCCCGTTTGACCATTGCCTGTCAGACCATTTTCTATTTAATAAACTGCACGTGGATCTTCAACTCTTTTGTCCAGCATCCCTCAATTGCAATTAACTAACACATCATTATTTTGTGTTACCAGTAAGTCCAGTAAATCAGGGAAATTGAGATAATTTTTTCCTACAGCTGTATGTACTGTACTGTATATGCATGCTACTGTACAGTGTATACATAGTGTGATTTGACTTCCTTTAAGATGTCACAATGCTTTTTTTTTCTCTCGCTGTGAAAATAAAATGTAAAAATAAAATATTTGACATTTCCAATTTTACAGTAATGACAATCCCCTCCCAGAATAAAATAAGAGGCCTAGATGAATTGTGTTTTTGCAGGATTGCAAATAAAAAAATTCCGTAATCCCCCCAAAAAATCTTAATTGTTAACAGGCTTCATTTTCTTTATGCCAAACTGAATTTTATTATTATTATTTTTTTGGCCGGGTGAAATGTGACCTGGACACATTTTATCCATCTGTCCAGGAGTGTTGCCAAGACAGCTGCCAAGTGAACCGACTCACTCCAGAAAGGTCTTTTTTTTTTACAACCACTGGAGGCGATGAATTCCTTCATTACCTGGGTGGTGTGTTCCCCTGAGAGCATTTTTGTCCTTGTCGAGTCGTTCCATGATGATCTTCCAACTGGAGGTGACGGCATCGAACTCTGCTGTCTCACGAACCAACTGCTTACGTATGTCATCTGCCAGAAAGATGTTCTGAGAATAGAAAAAAAAGGGAAGAACGAGGTAGCAGACAAGCGAAATGAAGAAAAGCGCAGAAGGGAAGATAAATCAGCTTGGTTGGAGCCATCACAGGTGTGTTTACAAACACTCGTACACACTGGAAATCCAGGCTGACAGCCACTGTTTACTCTCCTCATCAGCAGCGAGACAACAGATGTGTGACTCTGTGTGTTTGTGTGTGATGCTCATCTTCACAGCAAGTGTGTGCATCACATGTAGAGTCTTTTTTATTAAGAAAGAGCTGCATGTGTGTGTGTGTGTGTGTGTGTGTGTCAGGAAGGTCAGAAGTCTGCTGTGTATATACCTGGATAATGTAACCGTGGATTTTAGTTTTTATGAGAAGGATTTGAATGAGTAATGTGCTTTGTAAAACTGCAGGAAGTGATGCGAGTGTGTTTGTGTGTACCTCTAGATACATCCACTGTCTTTGCACTGTGAGGATCATTTCAATGACTTCCAGCACCAGAGAGAGACAGCGTTCCCAGTGGTCAACTTCCTTTTCAAATGCCTTGACGAAACGAGATGCTTTTATTACAGAGAGTGTCACCTGGTTATCTTCCAGAGCCTGGAATACTTCATCTGTTCCCCTGAGCACACACACACACATACAGACACAGTTTAGCAGCTATTTTTGAACATCTCACAGGGCAGAGGTTTTTAACCAGTGGGTTAGGACCCATTAGAAGTCCTTAAACACTTCTAAAGGACCACACATTGAATAAAAGGCTTTAAAACAGGATTAAAAAAAACTAGCTAAAACAACATATTGTTCTAACTCCATCTATAAAATGCCATCTGTTACATGATTGACAGTTCATAGTTTCTTAATAGGTAATTACTATGGATTCTATCATTTTAACTTACAGGTCATGCCACACAGCTATTTTTGTTTTTTAGGTATGAAATCAATCTTGATTTACTCCATTTTTTACATTCATATAGTAATACTTCAAGATGAACAATTACTAAAATAGACCGTTCATGAATCAACTGGATTAAAAATTCAGTGTTTTAATCATAAGTTCAGGCATTTCAATATCACTTTACCAAGACTTATTACTCAGATATTCATATTACTCAGAGTGACAGCTGATATTAGTATGCAGTTTTATGCAACTGTTCTGCTAAACTTTTTTTGTTGTTGTAATATTTCACTGATTTACATTGCACTCTATTAGAATTTCATCTTACTTTGTGGCCATGTATATTTTGAGGCCAATTTGTTGGCCTATTCTTGAGCATAAGCTAAAAATTGTCACTGGCTGTGTCTGAAACTGCGTACTACCCAGGCCCGGATTGGCTAATCGGGAGGATCGGGAGAATTCCCGGTGGGCCGGTCCGTTTTTTGGCCGCGAGGGCCGGTGTCCCTAGCTCCAGAATCTATTGCTCTCAGCAGTCACACTTTTTAAATATAATTTATTTATTTACCTGACCACAGCCTTCTAATTTATTATTTTACCGCAGCTCGAGCAAGATGCAGCCTGCAGGTTAATGATGATAAAACAAGATGAACCACTATCTATTGAATAGCTGTTGTGGTACAGTGGTTAGCACGTTAGGTTACGACGCGGCCAACCAGGGTTCGGTCCCCGTCTACGAAGATTTTTTTTTCATTTTTATTGTTAAGACATATAATACTGTAAGGGTTGTTGAACATTTGTAGTTCTAAAACAGCTGTTTTCTCAAAACAAAAAAGACCTGATAGTGTAATTAGAAACTGAATTGGAAATGACCTTATTTTAAGATAGTCAGTGGTGAACTGAGGTGGGCCGGTCTAAGGCTTGAAACTCCAGGGCTGAAAAAGAGTCCCACTACGGCCCTGGTACTACCCAGTAGGCACTGCATTTTAATTTTAACACACTACTCGGCCGTTAGAAAAGTACATTCTATACAGTATGAATGTGAGAAGTATGAATTGAATTTGGAGGTACTACATCTGCCATTTTGTCCTGGTCCTGTGACCTAACTGTGTCAGTTGTGTCGCTTCACTCCCATTCATGAATTCTCTTGCGAGGCATCATGGGAAAGCGCAGCATGCATGGGATACGCACTTCAGAATCTCGCCGTTGTAAGTCATCCGGGTACTTCTCGCATTCTGATTTTTGAATTCTATGAATTCGGACATACTACTCGGCTCGCATACTGATTTTAGTGTTCTATATAGTATGGAATTATGCGGTTTCGGATGAAGCCACTGTATACAGTAAACTTAAACAATGTTAATTAAGTAAATAATTAAAAATGAAAGGGATTGAATATTGTCTTGGACATTGGCGACACATAATGAGTTATATAACAATGCATATATAATACAGTATGCATTGTTTGTTCAGTAGTAAAATATATTTTTGGTTTATGGTTAAGAAGGCCATATTCAGAGGCCAACAAACTGAGAAAATATACAGTAAGCTCAGAAAGAGCTTTATTGGCAAGCATGTTTACACATACAAGGAATTTGGGTAACATTTTATAACAACTAATTAATTCCTTACTTGTTAAGCATTAACTCTACATTAATAGACGTTACTACGTAATTTATAAATACATCATTTGCAGTAGTCTTGACTTGCACATAAATAATGCGCTTAATGATTATGTTTTCATAATGTGTTTATGTTTATTTTGCTTTAATACTTTCATTACTAAATTAGGTATTGCAAAATTTACAAGCCAGTTATTTAATAATAGCTGGTGTTTTTTTTAAAGATCATTCAGAATGTGTAAGTAAATGATTAACTATTTAAATTAACATTTATTTAACTTATTATTCTGGCATATTATAAGAGTTACTTTGTATGTTAATAAATGCTTCGATAACTCAACTTCATCCAAGTGAGGACAAATTATGCTTTGTAAATCCCTTATAAATGACAATTAAAGGCTTAGTATCAAGTGAACAATACATCAATGCAATATTATATAACTTTATAAAAAGTTTACACATTGCTAAATAACGTGTCAAAATATAACATAAAATTGGACAGAACAATATAATAACTTAACAATATATTATGATACAACATTTCAATGTGTAGTGATATTCAAACTTTACAGTGTGTTTATTGTAGATAAGATTCCAAACATTTATTTATTTGATACAGTTTCATTTGTGTAACTTGAAATAAATAGATATTAATATTTTTTTCATTTTCTATTTATTTCTCTGTTAAGAACTACTGAGCCTTTAATTGTAATTTATAAGGGATTTACAAAGCATAAATAGTCCTCACTTTAGATTAGGTCACAAAACAGGATGAAGTTGACTTAATAAAGCATTTATTAACATACTAAGTAACTATTATTATATGCCTGATGAATAAAATATGTAAATGTTGATTTGAATAGTCTATTAATCATTCACTTACGCATTATGAATGATCTTAAAAAACACCAACTATTCTTAAATAACTGGTTTGTAAATAATGTAATACTTAATAATGAAAAATTAATCATTAACAAAGCATGAAAACACAATTGTTAAGCACATTAAATGTGCTCGTAATTAAAAAATACAGCATTTGTAGCTGTAAGTATAAATTGCTTACTAACGTCTATTAATGTTGAGTTAATGCAAATAATAAATGAACCATTTACTAATGTTTATTAAATGAATCATAGTGTATAATTATTACAAAGTGTTACTGGAAATTGTTTTTGTGACAGAAGTTCCCACAGTGCAACAGAATAAGCGTGACAGGACAAAAGCACAGATAATAAAGCAATATACAACTTGACAAATGTATGCACAGTATGTTACTTTATACAATATTGTATTTTTAGCTATGTGCAAATAAAATAAATAGCTATGTGCATTGTTAGATAAATAAGTGTACACTCTCAGAAATAAAGGTACAGGAACTGTCACTGGGGCAGTACCTTTTCAAAAGGTACTTATTTTTACCTGAGAGGTCCATAATAGTACTTTTAGGTACATCTGGGCGCTAACATACACCTTTGAGGTACCACTGTGGACTCTTTGGGTACAAATATGTTTCTTTTGAAAAGGTACTGCCCCAGTGACAGTTCCAGTAACTTTATTTCTGAGAGTGTATGTGTTTAAACAGTGTTTGTTGCATAATTAGCTTCGTACATACAGTACAGTATGCTGATATTTACATGGCAACAAAGTAAGATGTAATACTGATAGCTTGCAATGTAATATCTACTGTAACCTTCACACAACCTGTTGACATTTTTTAATGGCAGCAAAACCCAGTTCATCTGATCTATATGCTATGCATTGAAAATAGTAATGACTGCTATCAGTGAAACATAAATCAGGTTTACTAAATCTGAATACATATTCAAAAATCTGACTCTCTGAATCAGTACACGGACAAAGCATATCCATAAAAGGTACATTCTCTATACAATCAAAGGAAATGGTAACATAAAGAGCTCAAGGTTTGGTCTGTTATTAATTTCACTGAACTATCACACGTTTCTTTGGAACTCGCACACACCGCCAGATGAATGAAGCAAACAAAAGAGAGGACAAAGTGAACAGCAGTGCCTCTCGACCCCCTCCTTGGCATACTGCGTTACCATGGCAGCAGCCTCACGCGCTGCCGCAGCCGTCACCATGCCAACAGCGGGCATGAGCGCTGACTACCCGCACCTGAACACACACTCAAACACATTAACAAAAGCACACACACTCAGAGCAAAGACACACACACATGGTGGGTTTAACACTCTCACGGGCACAAAACATGTCACACACCTTCTGATTCCTCAGACTGAAGCCGCAGGTGTGTGTGTTTGTGTGACATTCATCTCTGTTTGTCTCCATCTCCCTAAGCTCTAACCCATGCCCTGCATGCAGAGTGTGTGCATATGATCACGGCACACACACACTCTTTCTGCACAAGAGGTCATTTGATTTATTATTTTATTTTAATAAGACACCTAATAGCTTTATTTGATGACCTTTTCTTTTTAATTATGAACTTAGAAGATATGCAGATTAAGAGATCATATGAGACCATATGCGAGCATGTGCAGCTTAAGAGACCACTAGAAAATTTGGTTTGTCACAATTCAATGTATTAACAAACCATTAACTAACACTACTGGCTTGATCAACTGCTAACTAGCTGTTTATTAATAATGAAAAAGGTAGAAGTTTGATGTGGGTTTTGGGTAGGATTGGGCATACAGAATAAGATCATGCTTTGTAACTACTAACAAACAGTTGATAAACTAATAAAAGGCAGGTAATAAGTAGGGCCACACAGAATCTGCGGAATTTTTTTTGCTATATCTGTGCAGAATTTTGCGGATCTGTGGATTTATGTGGAATGATTTTGGGAGTATTGTAATTAAAAACTTAATACATAAAATGAAAAATATTTTTTTAACTGTATTTTAATGTCTACAATGCAAATCCAATTAGATCCACTTATCCATTGGTAAACAAAGCAAGTCTCTCATGTAATATATCTCCTAAAAGACAGAAACCATTACTTTACAAACCGTATTGTAAATAAATTAAATAAACATCATTATATTAGTTATTAATATTGCTGAAATACTAAATAAATTTAAATTAACACACAATTAAACAAGTAAATAAATAGACTCAATGATGGGATAAAAAAACTGCTGATTTCTGCGCTCGCAGATTCAGTGCAGGCCTAGTAATAAGCCAGTAGTTAACAGCATGAATTGTAACCTAAACTAAAGTTTTACCTAAACTAAAGCATTTTTCAGTACTTACTTGATTTATTTTTATACTATAAAGATGTGATGAATTTTCTTCCCAATTTAAAATAAAATGTATTGCAAATAAAATCAAACGAGTTACAATCTAAAAATGGCAATTAACATGTACTGTATAACAAATGTTTTTATTTAGTATGATTGAAAATCGGGATTACTCCATCAAAATAATAATTTCCTAACTTTAAATGTTGGTACTGTGTTGTCTACAAATTGGGTTAATCAGTGCTTTTTGAAACACTATTGGTTGAGTTTAGAGAAAGGGGAGGGTGGGGATCTGTTGGTCACTACGCGAGAACAGCAGGTGCGAATGGCACTCGCAAGAGTAGATAAAGATCTGAAAATGCATACACAGTGGCCTTCGTGAAAACAACCACTGCTTAAAAAAAAAAAAAAAAAAAACATAGCTCCGGTGATGTATTTTGCTCTCTCCAGAAATGTATATACGGGCACGTATTCATAATAAGCCTGGGTTGGCTAA